TTCTCAATTTTTTGCTATTATTTTCTGTATTTGAACTGAAAATAGAAGCACAAGTGGATCGATTTAACTTCAATTGGCTAGCACCACTGGTTTGGCTGGTTCCGTTAGCGACGAGATCTTTAAGCCTGGCGAAAATAATTAAGATTACTCCGTTGGCTAAGCTGTAATATCACTGCATCGTTCAGGCAGGCATTCACAATCAATAAATTGAAAAATTGAGAAATCGGAACTGTAAGATAGATATAATCAAAATGGACAAACAGAATCGAAATGTGGTCCTCTAGGAACCATGCGGTTGGGACTGATTGAGCCAATTTCATCACTTATTACCTGATTTCCAAAATTCACGGAATTTATCGTCATAGTTTTTCGATAAAATTCGATTATCAAAATTCCTCTTTGAAAATTATGACAAGAAGTAAATTCGCGATGTTTGTAATTCGCCATTACAAATTCAAAAGGAAGAAGATTATCGAAAAGTTTTTTTTTCCTTCTGGATCCTTCTTTGCAAATAATATCATGTTTTTTATAGTTTTTTTCGAATAACCTTTTACTTATAATGAATTTCAAATAATGAATTTTGGTAGAATAACACAAATTTTTACCAATGAAGCTTTAAGATCATAGCTTCAAAATTTCTCTTCTTTCATAGATCAGAGTGTCAAATGATGTACCTGAAAGCGAATGATCATTCTTTAATAGTAATAAAGCCTTCTTTGTCTGATTTCTCGCAATTTTATGGGAACAGCACCAAAATTAAAAGTGAACTTATAGTATAGTATGGAGATCCATCTCCACTTTTTTCCTCCTGAAAAATGCTTTTGCATTTATTCTGCGTGATGACTCTCAGAAAAATTGCAATTGATCAGTTTAATTTACATTTTAAAATTTCTCGAAAAATATTTTACAGTCATCACGCGACTGTACCCGAGGGAAATGTACAAGTTTCGCATTTTAAAAATTTTTATAACACTTCAATAAAGCTGAATGAATATTTATTCTGCTCAAAAAGTTAAAAAAATTCTAAAAAACGATTTGTTGGAAATATTAGCAGTAACAATATTATTATCGATAAATTCAAACGAATTCAATATTTTTTTCGAAAAATGTATAAATAACTTACAAAACTCGTTGCCAACGATGGTTTAAATATTTTTTATATTTTTATAAAATATAAAAATTAAATATTTTAATATTTTAAAATTAAATTAAATATGCTAAAATTTTTTCAATAAATTCTTTTTCAAAAAATTTTACTGTGGAATGGTCTTTGGCGGTTGGTTTTTTGGAGATGTTTTTTTGATTTCGATTCAATAATTTTAGAAAATCAGCCCAAACAACTTTTAATCAAAAATTGTTTCAATTTAGGCATTCAAGAAAGAAAAAAAAGTTGAAAACGAAGCAGCGCTTGAAATGTTATTTCAATAATTTTCGTCATAGTTTCACTGTTTAACTTTTAATCACAATTTAAATCAGTTATTAAAGATAAATAGAAATGTGCATTGCCATTTGAGTTTCTTCTTAATTTTTTCTCATATTATTCACCAAAATGATGCGTCGGTTGCCGCCGAGAATCGAGCATGGTTCGAACTCGAACCCGACCAACGCACCACGCTTCATCGGGCAGTAGCATCGCCAAACAGCAAATGTAAAGGGCGATAGAATGGCTCAATGCGTTGTTGCTCAGACCGGAACATTAATGCTGAGCTCGACAGGAGAAAAATTATTATTCAAAAATTCGGGTGACGCCATACCTCTATCACCAAATGACTTTCTGGTAAATTTTTCTGGTATGATGCGACAGTTCAACGAACCTAATCCAGCGAGGAGCTTTCTTAGAAAAAAATCACCAAAATGACAAAATGATAAAAAAAAATAAAAGAATTTGCAAATATGTTCCAATTTCTTTTATCGTGGTATTGTTAAATTTCAACGATAATAAAAAGAAGTAAGTAAAAAAGAATAGCCATATTTATTTTCTTATATTTAGAGAATTATTTTAAAAAATAATTTGCCATTTTAGCATGTACGTTTGCACAAGTAAGGGTATAAGTATGTATATGCATGTGTTCAGAAAAAATACCCATTTTCTCTAAAATAAGCCAAATTTTGTTAAATTCTTCCCATGCATAGTTAAATAAGGAACCCTCAGTTCCTTAAGTCATTCCACTCGAGAAGATCAGTTTAAACGTTCAAACCAGAGCACAACTGCGGTATTCTTTTTTTTTCAAAACTTTCAGATTACGCCTTACCATAACCGCTTCTGAATCTAATGTGCTCCCTTCTTATGCTTCAAACTATGCTGCACTCTTCTGCTATAACCCAATAATATTGTTGATGATAAAAATTCTTATACTGTCTTAATCTTCTAAACCATTATAGTTACAATTTAAAGAGGAAATTACAGATCAATATAATATAGTACAATTCGAAGTAAAATTCTTTTTTTGTTTTTGAATAATATCGTAAATGATATTATCTAGTCTTTTTTTTAAAGACAGCTAAGGATGACGCACAAACTACATCGTTCGGTAATTTGTTCCAGTAGTTAATAGTACGAATAAAGAAGTCATGACTCCCTAGTTTAGCTTTGCATATAGGTTTTAGTAATTTTAAGCCATTAGTTCTTGTTGGATTTAAATTTAGTCTAAAGTTATAATATTTCGAGCAATCTAGTTTAACATAACCATACAGAATCTCGGAGATGTGTGAGACTCTATTGATTAAATTACCATTTATAAAAAGGTTAGGAAGATCGAATCCTTTAGAGTTGATGTGAAGAACGCTACATTTTTGAAAGGAAAGGGTAATTTGCCTGTCATATAGCCAGTCAGCTATTCTGTTGAGGTCCTCCTGCAGTGGAGATAGGCTATCCGTTCTACCATAAGAATAATAAATTTTACAATCATCAGCATAAAAATAAAAAGTAGAATTTATTTCCACTGTGGTGATATCACTTATATATAATAGAAATAGCAATGGCGCAATACAACTGCCTTGGGGAACGCCTGATTTAACAGGTGTCATGTCAGAAAGAATGTTGTTAACATACACAGCCTGGTAACGATCTTTTATGTAATCTGAAACCCAGTTATAGAGGTCCCCTGTTATGCCATAACTATTAAGAGTGACCAATAATTTACTATGGGAAACAGAAGCCTATCAAAAGCCTTAGCCAAATCTAGGTATACAACTGATACTATTTTTCCATTGTCAATTAATGCTGACCAATCAGAGAGATTTGCCAATATTTGTGAAGAAGTAGATTTTTTTGTACAAAAGCCATGCTGATAAGAAGATATAAAATTATTGGCATCAAGATAAGTAAGCAATTTGTTGCAAATCAACATTTTAAGCACCTTTAAGTACCTACCAACATATGTTAAGCTAATAGGTCTGTAATTAGAAGCGTCATAGGTGCTTCCTTTTTTATGAATGGGAACTATATGGGACAATTTTCAAATTTCCAAATTTTGGGATCAAGGCCAAACTTCATAATATCTTTATAAATTAAAAATAGGGAAAGACTCAGAGAGACTGCGCATTTTTTATAAATTATTTGTGGAATGTTATCGGGACCAGCTGAAATGGACGGCTTAAGTCTATTTAAGGCATCATAAACATCCAGTAGTGTTATTTCAATCTCACAGAGAGAACTGCAACAAATTCGATTTACGTTAAAACAGGAAGTATGAGTATTATCCTCAATAAACACACTAGAAAAATACTGATTAAATTTGCAATATCAATATCAGAGGTGATCACATTATCATTATGTTGCAGAATTAATTGTTTACGTGGATTTGCAAATTTTCTTTTGATATATGTCCAGAAAGAATTTCTATCAATATTTAAAAGTTGTTCTTCTTTATTTGAAAAGTAATTATGAATGGCGCTACGGAAACTTTTTAAGCAGAGAGGTCATTTGGCAATTTGGTTAATTGATATTTATTATAAAGCTTCTTGACACTTTTCTTAAGAGATTTTAGAAAAGTGGGAATCGACCTAATGTTCGTTTTTCTTAAAGGGATATATTGGTCTGTTAGATATAAAATGATGCTATATTAAGAAAATTAACTTTTTCATCGATAGAGGGAGTTAAGAGTTAAAAAAAAAAAGAAATCCCAGTTTATTTGTGCGAGGATAGAGTTAAAGATTTCATAATTACAGTGACGGTAACTTCTAGAAAATCTCGAGGAAGGTGAATAACGGTATTTAATTTACCGAATCTAATTTTAATGAAGCATGAATGATATTGTGATCACTGTTACAAAAAGGTTCCAAGACTCTAATACTATCAGCAAGAGAGGTAGGGGTAGCTAACATAACATCTAATATAGTGTTGCACCTAGTGGCGACCTTAATATGTTGCTCTGGACCAACATAGGTACAAAAATTTAGAAAGTCCTCTTCAAATTTATTGCTACTTTTTAAACAACTATTTTCCCAATCTATTTTTAGCATAATAAGATCACCAACAATTACATAATCAGTACCAATTAATTTTAATTTGAGTAACAAGTTATAAAGGTCCCTAGTGAATTTGCTTCCATAGCCCGGTAGGCGATATAGATTTATTAAAGGGAAATATTTCTGTTATTAAGATAAATTTTAATTATCAAAGATTCAAAAGAGGAGCAAACATAATCATCGAAGGTTATAAGTTTATAATAATCAGGAATAAGCATGATAAGCCCACCTCCACGAATATTTGAACTATTTATTGTTCTATCCTTGCGTGATACTATAAAGCCGTCAAAGTTTAGTTCGCGATTATCAATAGAGTCATCCAACCACATTTCATTGATACAGAAAATACTGTTTGGGTTATCAATTAGTAAGAGTCTTAAGTCATAAAGTTTATATTTTAAACTTCTTGCGTTAAAAATATATAAAGATAAATTACCTCCTATTTTATTAACCTTACTTGATAACTTGTCCTAGGCTCCTGCAGACTGATGAGAATATGTTGGAATCAAAAAATTGCTCGTTGGTGCAATCTATTGGCGAGACTGCCTCAGTTCCACTATTTGAAGATTTCTGACGGCATACTTTTTCAGATTGAGACTTTGATTTCGTGTATAACATTCTTTTCGCAGCTGTTTATCTAGCAATAATTCTCTTTTCGTCAGATCTTTTCGCAAAAAACTTCCAGGGGGAACGATCGAGCGCACATCTTTGTTACGCAAAACAGACATGGCCATATGCTTATCTTCGAGACGAATTTTAAGTACTCGTGGCCTGCCTGTCCCCTTCCTTCCATGACGACGAATCTCCTTAATGAATTCAGTCTTGAACCCAGCGGCAACTACAATGTTTTCTGCTAAAAGCCTATCGGCAGTAGCAGATTCATCATCATTCAACATTATGCTTCTTTTTTTACAGCCCTCTAATATTTCTTAAAGACCCAGCATATTGCCTTTGAAAATCTCGGCTTGTCGTGGAACTACTCTTCTAAAATCCATTATTTTATAAAAAATTTCAAATCTTGTCGAATGTCTCCTTAAAAAATTCTTACAAAAATTCCTCTTGCCATAATTTATTAGCGACAACATTTTTAATCCTTTTTCACCGCTTTAACTTTCCCAGGTCATAATGTCCCTTAATACCCTTAATTCCCTTAATGTCCTTCCAAACTTCGAGTGCACTTTGCCATGACGACATATAAAAATTATAAAAATGCAAGAAGAAGTATCACGATGATTCGGAATATTAGAGGAATATATTATGAATCAAAAGGGGATATGTGGGGGATAGAATGGCTCAGTGGGTTGTAGCTGAATTGAGGGCGCCGATGCTAGGGTTCGATTCCCAGCAGGAATAAAACATGTGCAAAAATCAGAGTGATGCTGGCGACGACTTACCTGTATTTCTATCGCCGTGGCACATTGCCCAATGCGACAGGCCAGTGGAGCGAGTTTAACCAGTAATGGTGAGAACTGCTTAAAAAAAGAAAAGGAGAAAGGATTGTAAGATAAAGGGATGTTGAAGGAATATAATGGATTTTGAACAAATATTGAAAGTCTGATAATATACCATGTTGGTGCCTGTACCTTTCGGAAAAAATTTGTTGAAATTTTTTATAAAAAAAAATACTCCATCCAAATTCTTCCTAATCTTGCCAGAATTCTTCCACCTCTTAAATGCTCTATTTGCTCTCTCTTTCTAATCTGACCATTTTCAAAAATTCTCCCGATCTCAAAGTTCGTTTCATCCTCGTAAATGATAATTTCGACCATGTATATCTCTCCGGATCTTTCAAACAAACCTTGCAGCACATTTTTACCAAGGCGGCAATTATTAAATTATAAAATTACGAAAATCATTATAGATTTAGAAAAAATTTAGCAAGAACTGGAAGAAGGCTTGAAGGAATTATAGGAATTTGATGGCTGGACAATCGGAAATATAGCAGAGCTTATGAGAATGTTAAGGAATGCAACGGTTTTGAGGAAAAATCAAATATTTTCAAATTTTGAAGAATTCTACTTGCCCACAGTAATGATAAAAAATAGAATCAGGCTTGTATAGTTTTCATTTAAAATACGATAGTGAGCCAGAGGAACAAAAGATAGGATAACGATAAGAGTAGAGAAAATGCGGGGGGAAGGAGTTTGCAATGAAAAATGACGAGTAGTTTGGTGTGGTTCCTTTTAAAAACATGCAGCCCCCAGGCCTATGTCTATTCATCTATACACCGGCATTTTTTAAAAGAACGATCTGAAAATAAAAGAATATTCAGGTCTTTTTTAATATGCACATTCATTTTATTGTGGAAAACATTTTTTAAGTTTGAAACCTCCGAATTTTTTTATTTATTTTCTATTTGTTTCCCTATTGGAAATTTTGTAATAATGAAAATATTTCAGTTTTAAAGTGAAATCAAACTTCATCTCAGGCCAAAAATAATTTCTAAGAGCTGATAGAGCTGATTTTACTTCGTAAATATTTGACAATAAAATAAAAATTAATTTTCTTTATAATACTATGCAATATTGTTGCATTTGTTTCATTTATTTATCAGTAATCTGATCAAATTTTAAATAATTCGTTGGGCATTCAAAGAATTAAATAATTAAACAATAAGTAATTAAATAAATAATTAAATAAATAAATAAGAATTAATTAAGAATTAAAAATTTTCACTATTTTTTTTATTAGTTTTTTTCGAATTGGAATAAATCAAACGAGCCAAATAAAAAACATTTAAATTTTAGGGCAATAAGTATAGCAAATAATAAAAATTAGAAAATTATTTTGCACTTTTTATTTAAATCAAACAAATTCAAATATAAAAAAAATAACTAGGAAAATACAAAGATTATCTCCGTTGAGGTTCGTTTTCAAGCAAATTTATTTTAAATTTTTTGATTTTATAAAGAAATACTTTTATGTTTTTCTTTAAGAAAAAAATGGTGCCTTTACAAAATCTATCACTATTGTGGTTGTATTTGTCGAAAATGTTACACATTTTCGTGAATTTGGAAGGCACCATTTTTATGCCATATTGAATCTCGGACATACTGGATCGATCGTTATATTATATTATCATTATTATTGCCTTTCTGGTAGCAAATCCTTTTTTCGCCAGTAAAAATATTGATTTTAATAACATTCGCTTAATTAAACTTCGGAAGCCCCATAAAATTTTCTTAGATTTCTCATCAAAAGGCCATTTTTCAAATGGTCTTAATTAATTAGAATTTACCAAAGAAAAAATGGTGAAAATTTAACTTTATTTTCCTAGATAACATATGCGTGATAAGGAGAGGCCAAATGAGTTTCTTTTTTGACGAGAGGATCACCCCAATAATCAGTGAAAGAAGCCAAATCAGAAATGATGAGTACTGTTAGGCAATCATGATAAACAAGAACACGCAGCACAATGAAACTAATAATAAAAGAGGATAATAACCAAACCATAAAGGAAGGTAATAAAGAATTATGAAGATCTATGATCTATTGCAACTAGTCACTTCTATTCTTACTCCTTTTTATAATTTGATCACCAACAGGTTGAATATTTTTATAATTTAATTTAACGAATAGTTGCTAGGCTCTTAATAATATTTTTTTAAGAGCGCTCGCCTCTGCTGGTTAGGCTTACTGCGTTGGATTAGACAAGTATGCCAGCGATAGAAATAAAGGTGAAGCGCCAGCATTACCTGGATTTTTTGAAGGACAGGTTCACTCCTGCCAGTAGTAGAACAGCGGCGCCCCGAATTGAACAATAAGCCATTGAGACTCTTAATAATAGTAATTTTATTTTAAAATTCAAATGGTCCTTGATGTTTTAAATTAAGAAATCCTAGGAAATTCATTATATAATGAGATTAGCCAAAATTAAATAAAATTTTGAATAAATAATCAGATCTTTGGATTAATAATATTCATTTATTAAATTGTTGGTATCAACAATAATTTGATCATAATTTTCCATGGCGAATCCTAATAAAGGGCTCTTCACGCTAGAATTCTGGTTTGCTTATTAGTCGTTTTGTAGTTTTTATATTAAAATATGAATAGATAGAATACAATAGAATATACAATAGAATACAAAGAAGTCTAAATGGATGATTGTGGATTATTGTAATGTAAATATTTTTTGAGTCCATAATCAACTTAAATTATGAGCATTTAAGAGAAAATTCGAAGAATAATCATAAATGTTGATATTTCTTGGAATTCACTTGTCAAAGAAGTAAAATTGATTGATGAAATTTTCAAGATAATCGGAATTTTATGTGCAAATAAATTGTAAATGATTGTGTTCGTCGAAGTTTTCGTGTTAATTCGAATAGTTTTTTCAACAACAAAACTATTTGAAACCCATCAATGCAAAACGTTACCCCATTCCAATTTTCTTTCAATCGAAGATTTTGATTTTATATGCAATCATCGAAAACAATGGTTATTCGACCGCTTTGCCAACAAAAAAGATTTCTTGTCGCAGATAACAGGTAAACAATTAATGCTCATTATTATTATTACTGTTCACCGTAATCAAGTAAATAACCATGAGGAATGAAGAAAATCGTGAAAATCTAAAGAATATACAAGCATATATCCTCAATTCATTTTACTTTCAGCAAAACAAAGATTATATTTCTTAAAACTCGAAAGATATAAAGATAAAATCAAGGCAGCAACTGCCAAAGACAATGAATTTCCATGTAAAAAAAGGAATAAATGCTTAAATGGTAAAATTTATGGTCGAGAAAGTTTGATGGAAGATATATCAACGCACTCATCGTTTTCGGTAAGAAATTTTTATTTGTTTATATTCAGGAATTTCCTTTGTAACGCAATACCATAGCGATCTTAGGTTCCCCATCAAAGAACTTCAGAAATATATATCCAACATACAGGGGCAAGATTTAAAATACAATAACAATATAAACCTAAGGCAAAGCCAAATAACTGGCATTACTTACAGGAACATCTGCTCGGTATATGGCTCACACTCTCTCAAGACCAGATAGGAGTTTTCCAGACAATAATATATAATTAGACGAAGTCTTTAAGGCCTTTTCATCTTGACAAACAAACAAGCCGTGAAGAATTCAACCAGATATCGGGGTATTAGACAAGAACCAGAAATCAGTATTGATGATAGATATAACAATATTAAATGATAGGAACACCAGAAAGAAGGAACATAAGAAACTAGGGAAGTACCAGGAGTTTAAAGAAGAATTAGAGGTGTGGAAAGTGAAGGCAAAGTGGTACTAATATTAATAGGAGAACTAGAGCTTGTGGACTGGAAAAGTAGCTTTAGAAAATTTCAGGAATGACATTAAAGATGTTCAGAAGAGAACATTGCTAGGAACAGCTAAAAAACTCTTGCGAGACTCCTAAGGCCTTTGGTATGAAAAGAGTCTGAGGACGAATATCAACAGGAGGATGGGAAGGAACTTTGTATATATATATATATATACATGACTACCGTTATATTTATTTTAAGCGTGGAAAACGAACTGTATACACATCGCCAAAGATGAAATCAATAAGGAAAGAATATAGAATGTTAAGTAAGAAAGAAATACATAATCTACATAAAGCGATGAATGCTTTGAAGCAAAGAATGATTGATAATATCTCTGTTTGGGATCTATTTACTTATATGCATTATCCGGATAATGCACCAGGTAATAAAGTCTTTTCCCCATGATAACCATATTAGTTCATAATTGAAACAAATAACCTCACGTACATATGCATATACATATACGTATATTTTCTTTTATTTTTCTATTTTCTATTTTATCTCAAACACGAGATGAAATATAAAATATTTTTCAATAATACATTGAACAACAGCAACTGATAAAAAGTAGAGAATAATGCTAATTTAGGAGCACACTGGGGTCCAGCTTTTCTGCCGTGGCATCGAGAATTTCTCAGAAAATTTGAAGTGGCGTTGCAAAAAGAATTACAGGGTGTTTCACTTCCATATTGGGATTCAACTCTTGATCATGGTCTACCCGAACCTAGTGATAGTATTCTATGGACAGATTTCATGCTAGGAAACGGTAAAAGTTTCTCTAGTCGATTTTGTTAAATTAAATCTTTAGTTAATTAGAATGTAACTTATATTTATTCCAGGACATTAGCTTAATATGCACATAAAAGAAAAAAATTTTAAGATGCAAAAAAATTTCAATAAAAATATTAAATTAATGAATGGATTCATTTGAAGCATATATTTATTAAATTTGTTAAAATTCATGCATGGATGGTGTTATTATTAACAAATAATAGGCAATGGTTTCGTGAAAACTGGACCATTTGCGGACTGGAACGCAAATACTGATATGCCTTTAAGTCCTGTTTCTATAAAAAAATTATACAGGTAACTTTCCATCTAATACATCATTCATTATTCAAATATAAAAACATTCCACTAAATTATGCTGAATAAATATATAAATATATAGAGTTATTTATTAAAAATTTTTCTGATAAGAGCAAACTTGTCGAAAAATCAAGTGGCGATCAATCTAAATCTTCAAATAACTCTGGCAAAAACTTTTAACAGGCCAGCGGAACTAAAAGTAATAAGCGTTAGCCACTTAATATCGAAATATTTTCGTATCATTTGCAAGATGATTATCATTTTAAATGTTAAGAAGCAACACGTTTGATTCGCGATATTTTACGACAAGCACCAAACATAGAGAGATGTATATAGAAACACTCATCCATGCTTATCAATGAGGCCACAAAATTTTTTTTTTAAGCGTCTCTTAAGCACTCTTAACATGACATTCGGTCAATCGCGTGGTACTTTTTGGTTAGAGCCCTGCTGTCTTGTTATTTTCTTATTGAAAAGTTTATTAAGCAAAAGAAAATGAAAAATTTTCCGAAGGCATTATTTATTAGTCTAATTCCTCAGTATATTTATTACAAACTATCCTAGCATCCTTTTTGGAAGCTGGGAGTAGGGTCACTTTTTTATGGTACAAAAATTGGATATTTTTGATTTAGATCAGTGGGAGGAAGAGAGTTTAATCGATTGCTATCAGTTCGCGACGTGAATTGGATTGAAAGACGACAACATTATCGCGATCTTACTTTTTGTCATGATAAAGTGAGGCGATTTGGCTTAAAAAAATACTGAAATTAGGCTAATTTGTAAAAACTTATACCAAAAAGTTCATTGTGAGATTCATTAGAATAAAATTTAAAATTTCTTCTTCTTCTAACAGCTCTCATTACTGGTTAGGCTGGCTCCTCTGGAAATATCTATAGCTATAAGGGTAAAGCGTCTCCAAGCTGCTCGGTCTGACGCCATTCCTTTTTCCACCGTTTAAGTCCATATATCGCCGGTCCCCTTACACGTTCAAAATCTTTCCTGACTGTGTCAGTCCAGGTCTTAACTGGCCCTTCTCGCTTTTGATGCCAACCATCATACGGTTTAGCAAGTAATGAAATATGCGTCGTCTTGTGGTGGACGACGGAGAACGTGCCCTAACCAGCTAAGGCCACTCTCTGTGATAACATTAATACAGGTGGTATTTGAGCGAAGGTGGATATTAATCATATGCGATTTTATCCGCTTTCATAAAATCAAATTAAATGATAATCGATTGATAATCGAGATTTTCAAAAAAAACTTCGTCATATTTATCGTTTAATGCTCTTTAGTAAACCTTATAAGTTCTTCTCTTCAATAAATCACTGAAATTTATATCCTTGCTTTGAAGACCAAAAAATCAATAATGTAAATTTTTTTCTAGCTTTTTCTTCACCTTCTGAATTTAAACTATTAAAAAATGCCAAATTTTTTAAAAATTATAGACATTTGAGTCGATGCATGGTTTATCACATGCTTGGGTTGGCGGTTATATGTATGTTTTGCGTGTTAGCCCAAATGATCCTGCGTTTTATCTGCATCACGCTTTTATAGATTATCTTTGGGAAAGATTTAGAATAAAAAGGCAGACGAGATATCAGCGCGAGAACGATTATGCTACGGTCATTTATGGTTTTAACCTTGCTTATAATCCTTGTATGAAATATAATTTCTTTTTTGTGGTTTGATATTATCAAATAAACTCGTTAGGCATGAAATTTTGAAATGTTTGGCAAACCATTCAAAATAATTTCAAAATTATAAGATCTTGGATCGATTTAAATTTGCTAGTGCAATATTAATGTTTCATTCACAAAAAAGCAATATACCGTAACCATAAAATATATATATCGTAAAAGTTTAAACAAATTTAACAGTTGTTTTTACAGAAAATTTGTGATAATCTTCAAGCGTTAAATGCCACAATGATACCGTTTAATATAACTAATAAAGAGGGTTTATCAAATGAATATACAGGTTGGCCATTTATTTTTTCTCACCGAAATATTTTTTCCCATCTTTTTATTCTTTTTTCTTAGTTCCTCGAGTAATTTCTAGTCATTTTAAATGGAATTTCAACTATTAATTAGAAATTTCAAAATCCGTAAACTGACATAATTCTAAGGAATTCAGTCAAGCATATTAATTGTGAAAAAAACAGATAAATGGTACGAATACGAACCAGTCCGTCACTGCTACGAATTAGATCCGTATTGCAAATCGAAATTTTATTTTTGTGATCGACGAGTATGGCGTTGTAGAAGTAAGATTCAAATTGGAGGAAATTGTACAGGGTTCTCGGATTTCGACATTTGCTATAAATCCGAATGTATTGATGTAAGCCAAATCCAAACCACGACGATAAAATTTGATTAAAGTACATTCGATGAGAAGCTAGAATCTGATCACTTGGACATTATTGTTTTAAATCATAATTGTCGGAAGAATTGGTCTAAACTTCAAGTTGCTTTTTTAAGAAATAGACATATGACTTACAACCAAGAAAATTTTAGAATATATGCCAAGCTTTATCAGGAGATAAAGAGGAAAAACATGTACTGAAATCGAATGTGAAGAAAAATGAGATTGTATATGCGAAAACAGTCCTAATTGGGAAATCCGGACTTCCTTTAACAGATCCCCGTTGCTATGTAGAGATACGTAATATGCTGAAAAATGGTGATATTATTCGAAATTACGTTGAAAAATCCATAAAAAGTCCCGAAATTCCGGTTTGTTTATCAAAAATATGTTAATGCTCTTTTAAAAAAGTGAACTCTCTCTGATTGTTTATGAAAATCATCAGTTATTGTATTATTTTAGCTTTTTTGTATTTATGGCATAGTGTCTTTTTATAAAAATTCCGCACTAAAAAAAGCTTTTTAGGGTCTTATATATTTAACTATGCCGAAACCTCATACTGGTCTCTCACAGATTGTGCAACTTGAAGCTCGTGATCAGTATGGTCGCTACTGCCAAATGTATTGTTACAACATATCATCAGATAACTTTGATGTATGAATAACATTAGAATAATTCCTCCCTATGAAAATGAAACTAATACTTTTTTGAAAATTTTGTCCTGGAAAATAAAAGCACAATTTGTTAGGGGCAGTTTAAGAGTTATTATCGTGATATATCTGTACATAAAAATTTACATAAAAATTTTTCTTATTTTTGAATTTAAATTTTTAAATTAATTTTATGACTATATTACTTCTACTACAAATTCAAGCAATGGAAACACATTTTTTATTCGCCATAGTAATTCTCGATACCATTTTTCACCGAGTCCTTAAAGATTTTTACTGAATTTTCCTTCTGGATTCATTTTTTTCTACCTGTGTTACTGAGGAATTAGTCAAATAAATGAGGGAGTGCTGAGGGACTGCATGAGGGATTAAAATCCGGTAAAAATAACCTCATGAGTGAAAAATTTGAGTGGTGGGAATGGGATGCTTAAAACGCGACTCACCATTGTATTCTATTTCTATCGTCAAGCAACTCTCTGGCAAAAATTTCTTACTATACTAAGCATTGACAGCCTAACTAGGAACGGTGAACGCTACCACTTTTGCCAATATTATTAATACCTCTTTTTAATTTTTTTAAAAATAAAATATAGATTTTTATCCCACTTTTTTTCAGGTTTGTGAACCAAAAATAACAATAGATGTCCGATTTCCAAATGGCACGAACTTGTCATATACTCATAGCGCATCTTCTCGAAAATATCTTGACGTCGATTTATCCTTCCATCCTTCAAAAATAACCATTCGTACACCAAATATTGTTTTTCTATGCACAACAAAAGTATTAATTTTCTTTTTTTAAAATGAGAAATCCAGAGAAGCGCTTCTTCATTGCGAGAAATTTAATTTTGAAGGGGAATCTGCTTATTTTTTTTGGTTCTAAATTTAAAAATTACCAATTAGCAATTATTTTCTGTATTCCATATTTTAAAATTTCAGATAATAGAATCTAATATGATAAAGAATTTAACAAATGTTAAACGCTATCCATCAAGTAACGAAAAATATGCTTGGATGCGAGTTTCAGTTATTGCACGATCAAAATTTTTTGATTTTAATCGCGCAAAGGTTATTTATAATTTTCAAACTTTTGAAACTTTTTATGCCGCTTTTCTTGAATGAAGAGAGCTTCGGTTCTTTAATTTCCTTTTTTTTTTGATATTAATACAAAGTTATTGGCACAGATCGAAGTACGAGACGAAAATAATAAAAATAATTGGCGATCATCCATTCAACAGATAAGATCGATAGATGATTTTAACATAATTTTTGTTCGGGTGCCAAATCCATTCGCAACAATGAAGCTTACCTCTATAAAAATATCAATCACGCAGGATGGAAAAAAAGTGAATTGCGATACGAAGTGCCTCTCGGTAAATGTTAACAAAATTTATTGCGATAACTCTTGATCTCTCCCAGCATAACTGAATTCCTCCTCGGTGCAGAAGTTTGCAAGTTATTTTATTAAATGAGTTTTTTACTGTTTTCGCAAAATTAGCTAAAAACACGAAAATTTATTGAAGAAGGAACTGCCATTATTGATTATACTGTGAAAATAAATTATAAATTTAAGGCTGAAGGTGAGATGAAGAAATGCGATGCCACCGTAAATTTAAGTACTGATGCTTCATTTTCCGATGAGCAAATTTTTACAACGGACCGCTCCATGATTGAGGTTTTGGGATGGAACATGACGGGCCATCCATCGTTATGGACACACAAAATGACTTACCTTAATTTTTACTGTTGAAAAATCCGAGCATTTTCGCTCATTTACTTCGTTTAAAAAATCAAAATTTTTCGCCAATTCTACTGTAAAAATTTCTTAATAATCCTTCTAAAATTGCTGCAAAAAAATGGTGCATTTTCACACTTTTCTTATCTCTTAGGACTTCTCCACAATTCGTATAAAATTAAATTACCGAATTTTGATAATGAAAAAAATTCACTGATTATTAATGTAGGATTGCATACCATTTTGGCTGACCATGAAACAAATAAAAACTTGTTAATATATAATATATATATATATATATATATTAGGAATTTGTATTTAACAGCATAAAACAGGATTTTTGAATGCTTTCAGTTAATTTATTTTTTTTTTTTTAAGAGTCCTCACCATCACTGGTTAAACTCGCCCCGCTGCCTTGCCGCATTGGGCAATATGCCAGGGAATCCCTCGGCGATAGAAATACGGCTAAGTCGCCAGCAACGTAAAAAATCGATGCATTTCAATAAAGTCAAAGCTTCCTAGCCAAAATATCTAAAAATAAAGTGACCAAATTTGATTTTTAAAAAAGTACATTTCACGATATTAGGAAAATTGGAACCTTAAAACGAAAATCCTGTGATTTTAAAAGAAAGAAAGAAAAATGCATTTACTTTCCCAATACTATACAAAAATTTTATGATATAGCATGGCAAAAAGAATTTTATTTAGCTCGAAAAGTCTACAAATTAGCTATGAAATATATATATATATATATATATCTTTTCAAAAAATGGCTTAATAAATAATATGATGTGGAAAGTAACAAAACCTAAAAACAATCGGATAAATAAAAAGAATTCGGAACAAATAAAAAATCAGGCAAAGTTTTTCAGTATTTTTTAGTATTTTTTAAAGAATAAATAAATTTCTAGTGCCTCCATGGCAAAATTTATCTGGTAAGAGCAATTAAAAATAAAAGGATAGAACCTATAAAAAATACTGCTGACAAATTTATATCATTTATTTATTTATTTACTTTATTTTCCACATTTACATCTAAAGAAATGGAGAAAAACATGGAGTTTTAAATGCTCAATAATTTAAATTTAAATTTAAGCGAAAACGCGACTAACGCAAAAAATAAGGCGAAAAATTCGAAAAAAACCGCAGTCATCCATAATTTTTTTCAAGTTGGTCTATAAACCATGGTCTCCCCGTACTCCTTGCTGTTAATACTTCACAACCAGTTTTCGTCACAAGAAGTGTTTGTTCGAATTGAGCAGAGCGTTTACCATCAGCCTGAACCAAAATAATTAAAAGTTAGTTTTGTAGACCAAAAAAGCAAATGATGAATAAAACAACCGTAACCGCAGTCCAAGAATCAGGCCACCGATCATCGTTATATGAGCCAGCATTAATCATTGGTTCAATTGTGAATGTATTTCCAGCTTTCATAACGCCTACAGCCTTGTTTTCTGAAATATCACAGCAACTATAAAATAATGCATTGGCTATACATCTACATTTTATGATCCTAATCATTTTGTTAAATTTTCTTTTTCAAATTTTTTCACAGAAAAATTTTCAAAAACCAATTAGTTTTACTTAAATACAAATTCAAGCCAGATTTTTTACGTTTTATGTTAAATTTGCACCAAATTAATGATTTATAAAATAATTACTTGAATAATGAGGAACATTTGGCGCTGTGTGGAATAACCTGAAAAGGAAAAATGGCACTCAATAATAGTTAAACCGATAATCGAATAATAATCCAAATAATGAAATACTTAACAAAGCTACGATTAATATTTTTAGATTACCGATGAATTCCATGGCCACAGTAAGTTTTTACTACGGAAAATCCGTTACTGTTCGCATGTTTTTGAATAATATTTCCAATATCACGAAATTTGGTTCCTTGTCGCACTTAAATTATGCCATAAATTCTAATCTAATAAAATTAAACAATTCTGGTGACTGCACCAAAAAAAATGATGCTTATAAGAAGATTGTGCGAAAGCCAAAATGAGATATAAAAAATAAGAGGCATACATAACTGCGAAAAGAAAGAGGACGAACCAATTTTAATTGCTTCTTGGAGACATTCATAAGTTACTCTTACCAGCTTTCTCGATTCTTCATCAACTTTATCACCGATAAGAAATGTTTCATTAAGATCTCCGTGGAATCCACGATGATAAACGGTAACATCGACTGTAATTTACATATAACAATTTTTTATTTGTTATTTTCACAAAATTGCATCATTAAGATCAAGGAAAACAAATATGCAAAAAAAAGAATAAATCTTAATGGAAAGAGAATTTTAAGGGACACAACGATTTCTGACGAAATATCAAAAGTTAAGAGTTATGAATATAAGAGTTAGTATATATATAGCCGAAAAAAAAGCTCGTCTGTTTCTTTCAAACCAAATTTTAATAAAATCCCTCCCAAATCCTACTCCTCTAAGGGGTACGGAGAATTTGGAATATTTGACTGGAAAATTTACGCCAGAGGACATTGCTAACGGAATGAGGCAAAATTACCATTCATATCCTAACGTTTTCTAGATTTCTTATAGCTTCAAATACCTCCAAAATCCTACTGTATAACCCAAATGCTCATTACATCTATCTATATTCTCCCGCTACCTCGTGAGTAAAGGCATAAACTTCCTTTTTAATCTCCTAGACATTGCAGCACCTTGATTAACATTTTTTAATTATAGCCCTCCCCTCTCAAAGCCGACTTAATACCGTCTATCTCTGTTTTCGCGGTACTTTTTGTCATGGTCATATTACAAAATTGCAAAAAATTGCATCATTAAGATCAAGGAAAACAAAAATGCAAAAAAAATCACAATGGAAAGGGAATCTTAAGGGATACAACGATTTCTGACGAAATATCAAGAGTTAATATACCACATTGAAAATAATTGTACTCAACTGAGATGAAACTTTTCTAATGGTTTTAACATTGAATATTTCATTCGGAAGAAAACTAATCATCGACAACAGTAACTTCAAAATGACTTACCATTGCAAATGTCACCATTAACTAAAGGTCGCATATCTGGAATTCCGTGACAAATCACTTCATTTACTGATGTACAAACGCTTTTGGGAAATCGATAATATCTAAAATAACTTTATCAGATGAACTGGAATGATAAGTATGAAAAAATCCACAAAACAACAAATTTTACTGGAATGACTGAAATATGCATTTTGTGCATCAAATAAAAACTAACTGGAATCCATCATATTTTTTTAAAGTGTTTAGTCATTTAGTCACAGCACCAATTCATAATTTCATATTTCAAATGTATAATGAAACGCAAAAAAGATGAAATTACCCAAGTGGAGAAGGATAACAATCTCTTTCAATGCAAGCTTCATGAACTACTCTATCAATTTCATCCGTTGTAACTCCAGGAGCACAAATATGGGCGGCTTCATCAAGGACTTCTCGAGCCAATTTGCAAACTACTCTCATATTTTCTATTTCTTCATCATTTAGTACCTATAAGATTACGTTTTTTTTACGCTCATATGTTTTAGAAAAAGGCTAACTTCAATATCTTAAATATAATAAAAATTTTAAGAAATGGCAATTTAATGAAGAAAAGTAGATAAAAACTGAAAATCATAAAATTCTTTTATCAGTAAAACCAATTTACCTTTGGCTCAATTATCTTTCGAGCAGCTCGTTCCTCATACGATATACCCTCAGGATGAAGGGCATAATCGGGTCGAGCTATCTTTTCTGGAACGATACGTGTTGGAGTCACTATTGCAGGACGCAAAATTCCAGTGAATCTGTAATTTGGCCATGGATTATAACCACTTATATTTGTTGTCGTAGAATGAATAATTTTGTGTGTGCTCCAGTTGCTTTTGAAACATTCCTGCAAAAAAAATAAATTAAAATTGAGGGTCACTTATCAATATAAACTGCGATAACAACGATATATGAATTTTTAGATAGGATTAAAGATTAAAAATTTCAATAAATCAAAAATCAACAAATAAATAAATTATAAACGATAGAAAGGAAAGAAAAAAGACCGTCTTTAAAAATTTCTTACTTGTGAACAAAAAAAGGAATCCTTTAAAGCAAGTTTTAAGCAAGTTGGACATTTTAATTTAGCAGTATTCGTGCAACCAATACTCGAACATTTCATATCAAATATCATCTTGTCTGTCTGCATTTTACTTTTATATACCAAACTGCAAATAAACCTGTTTTTTAAACATTCTTTTCTCATATTTTGTAGATTAAAACGATTAATAAGCATTCTGCAAACAAAAAAAATAAAAAAATAAAATTTAAAATAAAAAATAAAATTTACCGCAAATAATTTACCGCAAAAAAGGCATTTTTCAATGAAAAATAATACCTGAAATATTTCTATTATTTATGCTTCTCCCACGTATTTCTCAATCCATGTTTGCTTCAAAAGTTCTTTTTTCTAATGCTAAGCCATCGATATCGAAAAATGAAAAAACGCAGCAAATTTAGGCGATGATGACTTGCTGCACCAGCTGGAGCTAAATTGCAATATACAGTGCAATATACGTTGTAACGATGGACAAAAAATGCAATATACAGGTTAAAAAAATGAAGCAGAAGCGAAAGGTCCATTACTGCACAGAGAGCTTAAGCTCCAGTTTCAGGCCCATTCTACATTAGTAATCGAAGAACTGAAGTGTAATGAATGCGAAGTTCGAACCTACAACCGATAAAAGGCGTGGCGCTTTATTTTGATAGTACCTGGCTACGTTATTAAGCGGACAAATATATCATATATATAGTATCGGATTTAATAATGCTCATTTACAACATTAAAGGAATTTGCAATGCTACTACTGCTAAAAACTGCTAAAAACTGCTAAGAAAAAAATTTAAAAATCCTTCGCAATCATAAATGACAAATATTGGTTCCACGGACATAAACCAAAAATTGGTCGACCTGCACACTGGCCAATTAACAACGATGAAAGGGGAAGCAGAAACATCCTCTAGTAGCCAACTTAGTTAAGTAAGCCAAAGCAAAATCGAAAGAATTCGCTTTAAGATATAGGTTTCTTTGAATTTCAATTGTATTGCAGCCAAATAATCGCTGGAACAATGGGGAAAAGGAAAATATTTTATTTAGAAAGAACAAGGAGCTTGTCCAGCAACACGATAAGCACGACGAAGAGCGCAGCCTAATCAGCGCATACCATGCGGTGCTTGGAAATTTTTAAGCCATTAATCCTCCTTTCACAGCATTTATTTTTAAATTTTTCACCTGGCGCATGAAGCACTGGCAGATAAGTGGTCAGCCGGCCATTGAAGCACTGGCAGACAAGAGGCCATTTTGGTTTGATTATATCGACGCAAAAGAGAAGCGAATGAATAGCCAGTGACATGAAAAAATTATTTCCTTCCTTTTTTTCCTTCCTTCCTTTCTTTTTGCTTGCTTCAAGATAGATTTTTAGATTTGCAGTAAGTTCGTCGATGTTCTTCTTTTATAGTTATACAATTCACCCTCAAATGCTAGGGTTCTCCATTCTCATTTTCGTTCAATAATTACCTCCGGGCTTGTTAGTTTTGAGGCTCCCTTTCGCCTATTTCATCAATGTTTTAACCAATCTACAACCAACAATTGCGACAAGGAATTCGCATGCTATGGAATTTAGCTCATTGCCAATGCCAATAAAATTTGAAAATTCAAGAGAAAGTTTATATCTAAATAGTTTATGAATGGAATGAAAATCTAAATTTAATAAATATTGGGTAAAAAATGATTAATTTCGGTATGTAATGTTTGTTAATTCGATAATTTTTTGAGGAAAACAGGAAAAATTCATTTAAGAATGGCATTAATGTTGATTACTGCTGACAAAAAAGAAATTTTAATGAAATAATTGCAATAATTAATAAAACCATGGAAATGGTTCGTAGCGCAGTTGAAGACAGTGTTCTCCTATTCATATGTTAAAGGGAATGTTTGGAGCTCAGATGTAGGAACAAGCGATTTTATTATTATAATTAACGACGAATAACTGAATTATACGGAGAAAAATAAAAAGTAAGGAAATAATATACATTCATTTAAAAACTGATGCCATATGGGAATAACACGGATCGCCTAAACTATTATAATTGACGAGTATAAAGATGGGCTCAAGTCTTATGCATTACAGTTGTTCATTAGCAGTTCTCTGCATTTTTAAAAATTTATTTTTTTTATAAGAAATATGTCCCTTCTTTGTTGAAAATTTCGCTATATGCCAACTAAGCCGAACTGCTTCGCCCAATTTTTTATTTCTCGAAGTTATTTATTTCAAAATCTGTTCTTATTGTTTGCTACTATAAATGTTAAAAGGCAAGCAATACGATAGAAAATGAAATTTAAAATGCTACTTAACAATCATTGAAGATTCTTCCTTTTTCGAACGATTTTTATAGCTATCTTTGTGCACAAAATAGGAATTTTTTTTTCCAATGAGATAAAAAGCCAATGAAAAATTATTATTTTTGACATAGGTGAGATTAAAAATTTATCAAGTTGCTACCTTGCGAAACCAATTTCTTACTTGATAAAAAAGAGCGTTTATCACTTATATTAGACTCGCTATACGAGATATTAGAAGATTGAAGGCTTTTTGCTAGGAGCGCATTTGTTGTGTAGAATCCAGATCAGTTACGAACCCGATCTTTTCAGCAATAATTTCACTTCGGTTGAAGAAAGGCTTAAGCTCTGATACTCGAGGTGATGATCGAAACTACTTTTACTCAGTTACATCGCGCCTGCGCTCGATTTTGTGTGGCACCATTAAGCATTTGTCCCTCCTCTACGATGGAGAAAATCTAGATACAGTTAAAAGATACACGAATATTTTAACCTTAGATGCCGAATTAAGTCCTCAAAACCAGATTTTATTTGAAATCTTTTGTTGTAACAATAAAATAAATAAATATATATATATATATATAAAATAAATAAATAAATATATATTAGTCTTTTTATTGCTTCTTACTTAGTATGGACAGCCAATATAATTCCATTTATAATTATTGATGAAAATTAATGATGGGAAGATATTTAATGCTATTCATACTTACTCTAACTCTAATGTTTTCAAAGCAAAGTAGTTGGGTTTATTTAGATTTAATATCGCAAGTCGACATCTTATCAAATTTTATTCTATTACAAGCAGTACTAATATAATAGTAACAGTAATTAGGCTAAATGATAAACGCATGAAAAATTGGGAAATAGAATTTTTAAAATAATTATTCTCATAGAAATTTTTTCAGTAGACTACCTCTCACTCTTTCACGCTTTGTTACTGTTCTGTTGAACTATTCCATTTGATAACATAATGAGAATTGTACCAGTTATACATATTAAAGATGGCTAGAATAACACAGTGATACTGCTCAAATTTCGCAACGCAGGGGGTTCCGTCAGGAGTAAAGCTATGTTCCAAAAATCCGATCGATTCTGGTCCACCTACAATTCCACTGCTAGGTAAAATGATTCTTTGGTAAAATTTTTCTGACAAAAGATAATGAGCGTGAAAATTTAGTTAAAGATTTATCATTTCATCATTTTAAAATTTTTGGTTTTTGCTCACTGAAGAAAAATTTATTATTATTTGTTATAACATTTATTATTGTTTTCTACAAAAGATTATAAAAGGCACATAGGTTTAAAATACCGCAAACTCAGACGAAGTTCAGCCAATCTTGACAAAGGCATTTTCCCCTGAATACCTAATCCCTTCTTATTGCTATCTGCTCTGACGACTTAATCATCAATATATATATATATATATATTCATTTATAAATTTCATTATACATTTTCTTCTAAAGCAAATCTAATAGTGAATTGGTAAATATAGGTTGACTTTGCTATAAAAATAAATTATTTATTTATTCAACAATGAATCAAGTTCAGTCTTAAGTCCTCAACGTTTTTTTGTCGATTCACTAGGCATCCGATTATCCGATCAAATTTGAGAATCACAATTTTTTTAGCTACTCAGGAGATATTTTATAAAATTTTTTCAGTTCCTAAATTTTTCAACAATTTCTATAAATTTTCAAACCACGTAAAAATAAAATTTTAACGATAATCCAAAACCTTGGGAATTTTATAATGAAATAGTTTTAAGCTGAATATGTCCAAAAATCTTTTCTTAGATAATCGAAATTTAGATCTTAAATTCGACTTCGAAGACTTTGTTTTATTAGTTTTGTTATCGGCTATCGGCTGTTATTAGTTTTACTAGTAGTTATTTTTTAGTTTCTGCTTTTAACCTGATTTTATAAGTTGTTATATTTCAGTTTAGTATGGAGCATTTAGATGCAAATTAAGAAATGCATGCTGCATGCTGAGAAATTACTGTAATTGCTACCTTTTAGACTTATATATTTCTTTGATAGATTTATATTTTTTTACAATTTTTCTGTTTAAATTTCTCTATTCAATAAAAATTTTACCATATGCCAGAAAAAATTAAACAGCTTTTGCATGCAAACAAATATATATTTAATGAATTCCATAATAGACGTGCTACCATGGCCGTGGCCCACTTACAATTAAAGTTTTCAAAACTGATGGCTAATTATTTTGTTTACATCGCTATATCTTATGATCCGTATTAAATTCCTTTCTTATTAACATTACCTTACTGCCAAATTTCGGTTATGTGAGCTATATACTTTTACGTGTTTTATAAGTCAAATGTCTAAAAAAATTTTCGAAATTGTATAGTAAACCATAATTGTTTCACCTAAAATTCGTAACGGATTTTAATGAATATTATGTTCCAATATTTCAAATCGCTTTGTTGCAATTTTTCTCCAAAATATTTTAAATATTTTTAAAAACAAATGTATATTTTTAAATATAATTTAAATATGAAAACTCTTTTTTGAAGGCGACAATTGTGAATATGAAATCCGCTTTGGTACCTATGCTCGCTATTATATTTGTCGGCTGTTTGGCATCATCGCAGGTATTAATTGCTCTTTGAAAGTTTTTAATGACAAAAAAAGATGTTGGCTCATGCTAGTAACTTTACTTATTTTTTATTTTTACAAATTAAATCCTTTAAATAAATCATGGTTTAAATAATTACCGTCGTCGAAAAAATTGCAACAACTCCTTCGAGATTAGATATTCGTTCTTTTTTAAGTTCTGAGCCAGCATTAACTCCTTCTTCTCAAGAAAAAATTGGCCCATTATTTTATCAATTATTTTAGTGGAAGAAATTTTTTAGGAATAGTTCTATTTTAGAAAGATTTTTCTTTGTAGATTGTTGTAAAATTCAATATGAATAAACATAGAAGTAATTTTTATAACTCTATTTCTATAATTTTTTTTCTGTTTTTGTAAATATTATACAAGTTAACATTTAGGATGAGAGAGAACGTTTCAATCTTGGTGATCAGCTGATGAACACAGTTTATACAGCACTAATGAATTCGAAACGAAGCCGTAAGTGGTTTACCAGGACATTTATCAATTAAATTGATATTTGATCATTCATTCAAGTAGAAATTAATGAACCCAATTTAATTAATCTAAAATATTTTTTCAATAATGGGACATTATTTTCTGAATATTTTTGCAGTAATTGTCCTCAAGGTGAAACTTTAAGGATTCTAATGCGAATTTCATAGAAAATTTACAAGAATCTTAGTATTTCAGCTTTTTAAACTTCTGAATTTCTTGATAAAAAGTATATAAAAAAATATTTCGATAGTCAACTACTAATATTGCAGCAAGCATGGGTTTATCGTTGGCTGAATATATGGCAAGCCCACACGACCAAGAAAATTTCCATTTTATACCAACTGGAAAAAAATAAGATATGCAGTGATGGTGATGGCTTGTAATAGTGACATGGTTCAATTTAATCAACTATTATTGAAGAATATTATAAATGAATTTTAGTTCTCATTTTATTTTTCTATGTGGAATTTGCAGGACTGTACAAAAAAGTTGGTGTAAAAAATGAGGCTAAAAATTCGCGCAAAATTTTGTAAAAAACGATGACAACTTTAACAACTTTATTCTCCACATTTTATGTCATTTTATCACATTCATTTCATCATTCTTCTTTTTAAAAGGAAACCCTTGCTGATGTGACAGTAAAAGTTAAAATATTTTTCTCATCCTCGGACAATAAACCTAAAAATATAAATAAATATGAAGGTGAAATTTTTTTTTACTTTACAAATTAAATAAATAAATAAATTTCAATAAATTAAACAATTTCACTCCAAATATGCATCATGGACAACGATGGGCAAGATGAAAATATCATATCTAATCGTTGCTGCTCCAAATTATTCATCTTCTTTGCAAGGAGGCACTAATAGGCTCGGAATGGTAACGTAGCCATATGATTTTTTTTCTATTTCGTTAAATATAGAGATGAAGTCGATATCAAAAGTGCGATATGCATTTGGTAATCGTATTATAATATCCTCATCATAATAGTTTCGCAGTGGCTCATGACTGAAATTTTCACCACTCCTGATTATTATCAGTCCAAGAAATGGAGAGTGAAAATTTTCTTTATCAAATCTAAGTGTATAATGAAATTCAAGAAAAAAAGTGGGAATTAGTAAAAATATGAATTTAAAGTCAAATCATGCTAAAATAATGAATAATGGCCGTTATCATGTCAAGATGGCAAGTTTGTTTAATATGATACATAACAATAACGGAAAACTAACAGTGGGGTACCAACGACTTTGGTGCGCATTTGTTTTTCAATGAAATCAGGAAAATGACCAATGCCTATGTAGAAATATGTCCCTAAAAAAATTTAAAATAACACATCAATATTTAATTGGAAAAATCGAATTTGTAAAAATTTTTAAAAATTTTTTAGAAGTTATAGACGAGAATAAGAAGCGTTTAATCATCAGCCCGTAGATTCTTTTATTTTCGAAATTGTAGTAATTCAATAAAATTTTATAATAATTTTATTACAATTCCGTATTCCCCTAATTAAAAAAAAAACTTTTCGTTGCTTTTCCCTTGACGGAAGTAAATCCTTTATTAAAAACTAGTTATTACGGAATAGTTGCTGGAGATCTCTGTATCTTTGTTCTCAAGTGATTCTATAATGAATGGCTCAATCATATAGAGTCAGCATATTCACCTGTGCACTATATTCTTAATAAGGTCAGGATATTAGAGAGGGGATAGGGGTAATTTGGATTAAGGAAAAAAGGCGATGAAAACATAACTACGTGTGAGGACATGACGCTTATGGATAATTGTCTAGGGGATACATATAAATATTACATGGACAACTTTTAGAAAATCTTCCACACTCCATATTTCCAGCCTTGTACTTCTCAGAGCAAATATTACATCGGCTTACGCATCACTGGCCATATCAGTGCAGAATTTCGCATGTCTTGGGATAAAAGTGTCGGAAGATAGATGAAATTCGACTTTATAAATTAGATCTGTTTGAATACCTCTTTAAACATTTTTTTTTTCTTATAATAAATAGAACTTTTTAAGCACGCAAGACATGACTTAACCGAGTTTGTCTATCCAGAGCGTAATATCATAGATCTTGAATAATGATTGATAATATACTTTTTGGTGGCAGAAAAATATGGCAAACAGCAGACGCAAGGGTGTGTATCGATAAGTGCAGTGGATAAATAATACGAAATTCTTAAAAGCCACGCATTGTTCCTCTTTAAATGCAGAATGCTGTTTATAAATGCAGAGGTCTTCAAGTACCTCGATCCCACTTTTACAACATGCAGTAAATGGAATTCCATCCAGCTTTCTTCCATCCAGCGAAATTTTTGTAGAACCATAGTTAAACCAACATTAAAACGTTTGCATCCTTTTTTCCGTGACGCAGTATTAATCTTATTACTATTTCCCAGAATAATTTCATTGAAAACAGTGGAAAGGATTAAAAAGCTATCTATTTCTGTCTTTCCTCTTTTCTGTCTATTCTTACTTGAGGCACATTTTACCTAAGCGAATAAAATAGAAACTACATCCACCATCACTGGAATAAAATCTATAGCACCATTAGAAAATAGTCCAAGTTATTTGTTGCAGCACTCAGGCATATCTCGCCTGCATATCTTTGTGTAAGATGGCTTCAAAAGCTAGAAGACCCATGTGATTAGTACATTATGCGAGATTTGACAGATTCGCATAGGTGAATCAACTATGTATGAATTTAAAGGGTGGAAAAAGAAATGATTCCTATTACTTTCGGGAATGACATAAGGTCGAAATGGTTGAAAATGCTTTATCACTGGTGCTAATCACGATAGTAGTAGCTATTAGAAATAGGATAATAAAAATTTATCAATGTAAGCGCAATTTCACATTTTTTTCTCAAAAAAGTCCAGATTTCACAAAAAAGAATTCAAGAAATTAAAAGATTAAAACAAAATTATATTCTTACCTTGTGGCGAGTTACCACCATCGTAAACAAAGCCTGGAATGAGAATGGTATTGCAATTCAAAATCTCTACTCCATGCGAAGAAATGTTGTGAGACCAACCCACGAGTGGAGCAATGCGTTCTCTTCTTGGTGGATCCACATTTTTTAGAGATATGAGAGGGATTGCTTTCTAAAAAAAAAATTTGAATTTTTTTTCATGAAATCGCAAACCATTTATGGTGCAAATGAATCAAGCCAGCATTTGAAAGGGAAAATTAATACTGATAAAAAGTACGTCTTTACATATATCATAGATGCCAATCCACTGATAATCTGCAAGTTTCGCATCATCAGATAGTAGAAAGGCGACTGTTTCACCAATTAATAAAGGCAATTGATATTTTTTATGCGAAGATTCGCGCAACCCAACTGTTGTTAAGGGTGGCAAGGAAGCATAACTTAATTCTGGTTGAGACTTGGTTGAAATTGCAAGCAACATTGATATATCTTCAGCTGGTGGCAATATCACATCAACATTTCGTGCTTCTTTCTCATTCTGCCAAATTTTGATAGAAATTAAGAAATCCATGATTCGAATAAATTTTAATAAATGTGATCAAAAATAAAAAAAAAGAAGTAGGAGTCGTTATTTTATTTTTCGAAATCGTATTTTAATATCTTATTCTTTACCTTTATCCTCTGAATTTTCTTTTGTCTACGTCTTTTCATTCGAGGATCTTCTACAACCCAATATAAAGGCGTCGATTTACCATATATATTTTCTTCAGGCGAAACTTCCTCAATATCCTGTGAGTGGAAAAAAGTGTCGAATAAAATGCCTGCCGTATTTTTTCCTTCAAAATATGAAAGTTGATTTGATTTCTATTTTCAAAAAATTTCGTTCTGAAAGATTAAATCTTAAGTCATAAGAAATGAACCATCTTGAGAACTTCTTGATGAAGCAAGTTTGGACCATTTATTTGTTTTTTTAGTTGACCTTGGCTGGTTCCAGTTTCCCAATCTTGAAAATATTTCCTAGAAAACAGGATTTTGAATTTATATTTTACAGCTCAAATCACATTATCGGTTATGTAAGAATTAATTAACTTTCGATAAAATAACAAATAAGAAACTTCTCGGTCCATATTTACATTCACAAGACTAGGCTCCTCTAAATCAATTTCTTCACCAGTATCTGGGTTGATTACGATCATTCCTGGTCCTTTATCTGGTGACTTTTTTATCTGTAAAAGATTTTTTTAAACATTGGATATACATAATTCGAAATATCAGGCTTAATTTCTTCAGACTGAGTTTTCCAGTCATCATTTAAATTTAGTTACTAATTTGGAAGTCGCAAAAGATGCGATATAATTTAATACTCGACGGACTGAAATCGCTCATAATTAATTACCTCATGAAATAACTTTGGGATAAAGCGATCAGTAAATTCATTTTGAATTGTAACTGCGATTTCTTTCGGTACTTCGAGCTGCGATTCTGTAACTTCTGCGGGAATGCTTCTTGCTGGGAAATTCGTTATCTTAGAAAAGAAGCTTTCTTGCTCATTAGTCAATGCATTTTCAGGCTTATTTATTTCTTGATTTTGATCTTTGATATTTGCTTTTCTAAAATTGAAAATTTCAATTGAATTTCTCTTTTTTTTTTGATTTTTGTTCTGTCATAAAATTTTCGATATATTATTTCTGTATCTTCTTTCAACTCAGCAATTCTAGTTTTATTAATACTATTCGTGTGGTACTCTTTCGATAGAGAATTATTTCGATATGGATATGCAAATGCATTAACTCCACTTATACTTCACTTTTAATAGTTTCCTATAGTCTGAGGGGTTGAAAATCGAATCTTCTGATTTGAATCGTCCTCGAAATTATCAGCTCGATGTATTTTATTATGTATTATTATTATTAATTATTATTGTTATCTATTATTATTATTAATCATTATCTCTTCTCTTTCAAATTAAAAAATAAACCGTTTCAGCTACCAAATTAAAAAATTTTGTACTTAAATAATATGAAGGCTGGTGTTGAAGACTGGTAAAATTTCATATCAGATTCGATAGAATCCGTAACACGAACATCCTCATTTGCTGGTTGAATGTGCGTAAAAAATGGCCGAGCTCCTTAAATAATGGTTACGAAAATCGCATACCATAAAATCAAATTATATTTACTGATATTTATGAAGAATTATTCTTAATATATAGTTTATATAACATATGGTTAGAGTAAAGTCGGTGCCTGTAGATGATTCTTTATTGAACAGTGTTGTAATGATTGGCGGTCGTCGAGATGACACAACTCCAGATATACTGAAATTCCAGAAAATGGATAATTTTTGAGTAATAACCATATTTGCAAATTTATTTATTAGTTTTTAAAAGTGGTAGATAAGTAAATTTCTGAAATTATAACTATTATAAAATCTAAAATGATTATTGCAAATTATTTTTTTAAGCAGATAAAGATCAGTTCAAATGTTTCACTTGATTTTTTTTGTACTGCGATTAAATGGCAACAATATTTTGCCATATTATTATGAATGTGCAGGAAAAAACTCCCTAATTTAAACCAAATTCGGCCAAATTCTTGCTTCTCAAACTTCACATAGCATTTTCTATCTCATGAATTCGGCTATTCCTCTCTTTCAAAATAATATGGTATCCTCAAATCTTTCAAAATTTTTCAAATTTTCCCTATCGCTTAATAAATCCCTGGCAATTTCTTCAGAGCATGTTCTGCACTATTAAATTCCCCCAGAACCCTCTCTTTACTCCATCAAACTTATTATTTTGCCATACCGCATCAGTAAATATTATTTGAAACTTAATTCCTTTGTATACCTATTCATTCAGTTATAATCCTTTATGATAAATGCTCCGGGATCTGTTGCTACTATTCAAAAAATTCTTCTAATCATCTTTATCTTTGACATCCTATTCAAAACCAGAAGTATTGCAGTATTATATTATTTGATAAAAGTTGTACACAATTACCTATACGCACCTCCTTACAGCATTTTAATTTCGTCAGACCACCTTAGGGACCATAACATATTGCCAATTTGGCCCTTTTTGCTCTTTTTTTGCAACCTCTCGATATTTCCTAAAAACTGACCAAATGCCGACGGAATGTCAGTCGGTCATGTTGAAACTCCTTCATGATTTGCCATTATCTTCTGTTAGCATTTTGAAACCCTTTTTGCCGCTATGCAGCTATAATCCTACAAGCTCCTTTTCTATATTTCTTTGTTATCTATTATCTATTATATATGAACGCTTTGCTAAATTTCATTCATAATGCTCTATTGAATTATAAGAAGAGAAAAGGTACTACCACAAAAGATGATAGACTGTCGGCCAATTAAACATTAATCAGAGAAGTAGGAATTTGGCAGATATGCAAAAATGCTTAATCAGAGTTAAAAGAATTGTTAAGGAATGGGTTCGAGGAAATAAGTTATGAAGTATGCTAAGGTTTAAAAACAATTCTGCCACCTGTAGGCAACTCTTCTTACTAATTTTAATGAACCTCAAGAAATATTTATGATGAACCTTTTTGATCGTTTGTTTTTTATTTGCATAGCATTTGATAAACCAGTTTGTCGAAAGATCCTAAATTGCAGTTAAAATTGAAATGTGACTTTAAATTTTACTAGCTCAAAACATGGCTATGTTTAGCAATAATATAATGCAAATGAGCTTTCAAATATTCTGATAAACTCACGTCGAAGTGGTAAGCTCTTGAAAAATTTTAGTGCTATCACTAAAAGCAGTATCATTGATAATGATATCTTTGTGTGGACGAGAAACGTTTAATGTATTGCTAATTGCAATGTCGATTCCAGCGAAAGGATTTTTATGGTTTATAAAAGACTTGATCGGTCTCGATTTGATTTCTCAAATAAATAAATAAGTTCAAATATGGAATTTTCCATTAAGAAATCTTATTAAACTTCATTCATAATGCTCTACAAATTTTCGCCTTCATTCGAGTAATTTATCTTAAATTGATTAGTTCAGTAGAATGTCGTTAACGAAAAATATTGTACTTTCAGGTAATTTCAGATGATCGAATTCTGTTGGCCAATTAAACATTGATTGTAGGCTAAATGCGAGTTGCGGCGAACGTTTGATTCGAGTTAACCTTTTAGCGAATTCTGATCTTGATAACTGCAGCAAAACCCCGTTGCTTTGTTCCCAATCGCTGTCTTTACTTCTTTGTGGCCCAATCATTATTGAAGTGCCTGTTAGTGATATTTTTGGTCTTGTAAATTTTGTCGCTGTTTTTATGATTTGTTTCTAGATGAAAAATAAATAAAACTTTCATAACTGGAAGTTCTTCCCTGATTTAGAGCAATAAATCATGTATTCTTTCGATAGAAGTTATAATTAGCTGTATTTTTTGTTAGTTAGGAAATAAATTATTGTTGAAGACTTACATCCAAGCTGTTGTGGTTGATGAGTGAATTTATGGAATATAATTGTCTGATCATCTGCAGCGAAAACTTCCGCATGCGTCCTATCTTTGCTATAACGAAGAACACCGAGGGGAATTCCGTAATAATAATTACCCTCATCTCCAAAACCAGTTAGTAAAGAAAATATAAATATTTTTTAAGTGATATATTTCCAAAATATCAACCAGCCGAATAAAAAAAAAAGTGGAAATGTACAGTGAAATATTAGCTGTAAAACTGCACAATACACTTTTTTATAGCCTGGTTCACTAAGATAGCCATAGCCATAATTTTCAACAATGACGATATTGAAGCTTTATTTATAGTTTTAGGTTCAATTTATAACTGAGAGATAACCGTGAATCGGTGCGTTTGTGACAAAAAAGTTCATTATATGAACAAATAAAAAAATAAAAAGTACGAAATAATGATAACACTAACTTTCTAGGCTGCGCGCGGAAATAAATAAGAGCATGGTGAAAAGCCATAGCAATATATGCTTCATCTGAAACCCCAAAAGCTTTGGCTATTAAATTATATAGGAGCTAAAATCAAAAGCCTTCGTAATTAGATTAGAAAAAGTCATATCGCTTCTTTTAAAATGAATTTGTCGATAATGGTTCGCCCCTATGAAATTTTATAAATAAATAAATAATAAATCTTAATAAATCAACTTTTAATATAAAATTTCAGCTGCATTGAATTAATATAATAGATGAGCAAAAATGGAAAATATACCAATTGGCTATGTGATGGCATTTCAAAAATAATCGCCAAAAAAATAAGTGAACACTAAATTAAACTAATTTTAGAGATAAGATTCGCGTTCAGTCGCTAATGACCATAACATATAGCAATGACTATAGCAGAAATCGGGTCAAATTTTTTGTGGTAAAATATTTTTCAGTATGTTGTAACTGTCAATGAACCTTGAAACGATCTAAATTGCGAGGATCATATCAAATATCAAATTGCATTCTTCGATCATCTCAATCTGTGAATTAAGTTTATCATATCAATAATGCTTCGAAATAACTGGTTAAATTTTTAGCATTTCGCTATAAAATATTTTAAATTGGTGCCTATAAACAAAAATAAAAACAAAGGAGAAATAACACTGATATCACAGAATAATTTCCGCTTGTACTAAAAAACTTGCAAATTCTTATAAATTTAGCTATTCGATATTTTCTAACCACGAATGAATTAAAGAAAGGAAAATGGCAGTTCATCAATGCAGTGGTTTGAAAATTTTTGAGCATTTATTTTAATTACACATATAAAATAAATTCAATATTACCATTTCATCTTAGGCTATCTACCCGCACCATTAGAAATTTTTGCCAGGACGTCACCTGGCAATGAAACATTACGGAGATGAATCATTAGCATCACCCAGATTTTTTAATGCAAGCTTGCTTTTATTGAGAGCATCAGCGAAACCATCACCTATTAATACGATAACTTTAGTCACTAACCACTGGGTTTATACATTGGTGATAGAAATAACAATGGCAGGTGTTTGGAAGAAGGAATATGAGAGGTTAAAGAAATACCAGGGACTGAAAAAAGAACTAGAGAAGATGTGGAAAATGAAGACGAAAATAGAACTAAGTGATAACTGAAACACTATGAACTGAGATACCTAAAGGACAAAAGTGATTTCAATAGATTTTAGGAACAGAATCAGACATTTTCATGTCCAGAGGAACGCATTGCTAGGAACTAAGATGCTCTCGGTCAAAGAACTCTCAATCTCCTAGACTGGTAGAGGATGCTTACCACCAATAGGAAAGTGAGAATGGGATTTTGATATATGTATATATATATATGTATTAATGGGTCAGTGCAGTGGAAACTTTTGCCATAATCTCTTGCAATAATGAAAAGAATAAAGTATTTATGGACTATGAATATTCAAATTTGCGAGCGTAATATAGTATCTTTTAACTATAATGCCGAGTTTATTTTGTGTATTGTGTATTAATATTCTTCCATGAAAGTAAATCTGAGTAATTATAAGTCAAATTGGAGTGGTTATGGAAGCCCACATGCAATTTTATTTTAATGTGGTTTCTGACGACAGTGTCTCTTCGTAGTTGCCAGTTAGGTGGACCTAATCAGAAATAGTGAATCCTCTAGGAAACAATATCGGAATGTTGATTCATATTTATGCAATGATAACTTTTCAATTAATTTTTGTTTCGCGGAACTAGATTAGGAAATTTGGAAAGATTCGTGAAAAAAGTATAAACTTTGCTTATCGACAAATATCATTTATATCATTCGAATATCATTATGCGAATATCATTGACTAATCTTAAATAATAGTATATTTATTCCGATAATTATAATTATTCCGACTGATTAAGAAAGATAAAAGCATATTTTATGAACATTCAATGTTTTAAAACGGATTTTTTGCATCGGTAAATAGCTCTGGTCGATAAAAATTTTTCCCCATAAAAATATTTAGTTCGGCCGTTGAACTGCAATAATTCAACATAGTTCAGCATGAGTATTGTAGAAAATACTTGAAAATCTATTATAAGGTAATTTATACAAGCTGATTTACAGAATTCAAATACAAGTATTAATGAACCAGTCATTCGTATCGTTCACTTGGATTCTTGCATCATTCTTCTTCTTCCTCCTCTTCTTCATCTCCTTCCTCTTCTTCTTCACCTTAAAATAGATCAAAAATTCACAACAATATTAAAATCTCGCTGAATAATTGATAGATAATGTATTTAATACCTTCTTCATCTTCACCCTCGCCTTCTGCTTCTTCCACTTGTCCTTCTTCCTGAGGCTCAGGTTCTTCAGGTGCTTCAGGTTCTGGAGCTTCTTTCTTTTCCTCGGTCTCTGCAGGCTTTTCGCCCTTCTTCGACCAGTTAGGCTTATCAGTTTTCTTCTGTAATAAATTTATTAAAAGCCTTATGGTGAGAGTATTACTCTAGTATGGTGGCAGTAGCAAATTATTTTTTTGAGGCTTATGTAATAAATTTTTTTTCCAATGAACCTCATTAAAAACAAATTAAAATTGAAGTTATTTCAATTATTTAACCTTATTCACAATATCGTCGATGACGTTTTCTTTCTTGACAACCTTAAGATTGGCTCGGAAGTCTTGTTTATCTTCCTTCTTCTGCCCAGCCATTTTTTTAAACCTGCCATTTTAAGAATCAATCAATCTTATTAAATAACTATAACTCGCTCAAGGCAATTTTCTTCTTTAGAAATTGTTGAAGAAGTTTATTAACCAAAAAAAAGAATTTAAAATTTGAAGCATAAAGAAAAACATGAAGAAAACGTACTTATTATCATATTTCGAAACTTTTTTCAGAGTTGGCTTTACGAATTTGCCTCTCAGATCGTTAACAGCAATCGTTAATTCATTGATCTACAACAAAAACCTATAGAAAGATATCACTAATTAAAATTAGTGAACCTTTTTTTTCTTTTTTGCCATCGCATTTATCTTTAATCTATGTGGATAGACTAGTTATAAAAAAAAAAAACCTCAGCATCTTTGGCCATTACAGCCTGATTAATATCGTATTTTTCCTCTTCTAATTTAATCATATGATCGAATAACTTTTGGTAGATTTCTTCCAGTTTGCCTGAATTCAATTCGATAAAGACAAGTTTATCAGATAAAACTGAAAATTTTATGCTTATAAAATTTTCATATCAAATTTCATAAAATGAGTCGTTTTTCAACTTTTTAAGCAAAATTAACCATGATCTTCGAGACTGTCAACATCTGGCAATGGTATCGTGCGTTGTGAAAGAACTTTTTGCCTTTCCTGTTCTTTCAACAGTTGTTGTTGTTTAAGATCTTCAGCTGCTTTCATCATAAGCAATTTCTTTAATAAGCTGAATTACTTATGGAGATCGAAAATTATGCAGTAAACTTAATTATTAAAGGGAAGTAGACATTTTTAACTCTTTTATTTTTTTAAATTAATATTTTTTGCAAATCTTTTTGAATTTATTAATGCAAAGTTTTTGGGATTTGTGTAAAATAAAATAAAAATAAAGGACATATATATTTTACAACTTTATTTGAAACTAACTCGAAGCTTCTTCTTTCTCTCTGGTGTAAGAAAACCTTTTTTAGCCTTTTTCTTTGATCCAGCTTCCTCGAGTCGCTTACGTACTTCAGCTTTCTTCTTCTCACGTTCCTCTGCCTTACGTTTTGCTTCCTATGAAATAAAAAGTTGGTTAGAATTTTTATATGTTAGATGGATGTTAGATGGCTGAAAACCATTTTACAGTATGTTAAAATGGTTATAATGAAGGAAATATTTTAAAACTTCTTACTATCTTAAAAAAAAATCGAATTGGAATCGTTAAATAGTTTTAGTTAGTCTACAGTAGTTATTTATTTGTATTATTTGTAATTATTGTAATTTGTATTCTTTACTCCCGATCAACTGATAATTTCCTTTGGCTTAGGAGGTCGTCTATTGCTACGAATAGAAGATGAAGCTAAAAATTTCGGCTACAAATGAAATTTACAGCATCTCCTGTTCCTTCATCTTCCTCTGCCTGAGGACCACCATATCGATATTCAAATTCATTCTCTGGCACCTCTGAGCAATAATCTTCGTCACTCATCTTGCAAGTGGCTTTTATGGCTAAAATAGTTTGCAGTGAAGCAGAAATTTATAAACGCAATTAATTTACAAACTACAAAAATTTGGTTTTGGCATACGATAAAAAGAGTATTTAAAAGGAAAAATACGAAATAATAAAGTGAGTACCGAACTTATTTGTTTCGGAAGAAACTTTCTCAAAAAATAAAAAAATGCCGGAATTTCAAAAAACAAAGTTATTAAATTCTGACAAAAAATTATGATTAAAAGCTTTGATTAAGTTCAAATATCTGATTAAATAAATGAATATTTGTTTTCGAAAGGCAGATTATCATTAGAATTCTATTATTATGGCTTTAAAAATTTTAATTTACATAAATTGGCTGAACGTTTATTTGATGAATTGGAAAATAAATGGAAATCGATTTTTATTAATTAATTAATTAATAAAAATTAATCAAGCAACTGGAAAAAAAAGAAGAGTTTATGATAAATCATGCAAAGCTTATCAAAGTTTCTATTATTAAATTTATATTATAAAGGGAATTTTTTTTAAGGGAAATAATTCATTTTACCAGTTTAATAATTTATAAATTTGGATGGATCAATGCGACACCTCTGTTTCGCCTTTTAAAATGCTATCTTCATTCATTAGATTATTCATCTGAGATGTTTAAAAAATATTTTTATAATTACTTGCAAAATTAAATACATTTACGGGTGAACTTTAAATAATTATCATAAAACGATTCAAAATTTTTGCATTCCTTGATTTTAATTAATAGAAATTAGAATAAAAATAAGAAAACGAGGACGCATAAAAGACAAGAAAATCTTCGTTTATTCTCATTTGGATAATAACGAATATGAAAGAAGTAACTGCTCAGAATAACCGATAGCTGTGCAGTATAATGCTGAGAAAACAACAATTCTTGTTGTAATCCTCCTTTCTCTTCTATTTCATTTAAATGATTATACTCTATTTTTAATGATAATATCTTCTTGCTAAACTTTTCTTGCCAGCAATACACCCACATATCTCTTTTACAATATTTTTAGTGTTTCTAGTGCCTCGGGCAAGCTTCTCACATATCTTTCAATTATTTCATCTGAAAATCAGCTATTATCTTTTTAAAACGATCCGATCTCCAAGAATTTTATAAGCACTCTTTACCTATCATTACAATTTTTATAGTTGAAATTTTTTATTATTTATTCCAAAAAAATTTTAAATCATATTGATTAATGATAAAGGAAAACAATAAGCGTATTATTTCTTGGCAGCCGTCTTATTTACAATCATCCTTTATTCTAATTTCTTGTCACTGTTCAACGAATTTTTTATCCGAGGCGAAACTAAACATATTTTCTTAAAACTGCTGATAGAAACTGCTCCTTATAGTCACAGTTTTCACCTCGTTTTCTCTTCAAAATTCTATGCCAATGTGATTTGCGAAAACAACACCTTAATAATTCTCAAAAAAAGTCTTTCTTGTCTCTTCATCTTGGTGACTGTGGGATACTAAGGCACTTATAGCTAGTCTGTATGTGCACTTCCTAATATTTCCTGATGGACATCGACCACTTAGTCATTACTACCTTTCCTTTCTTTACTACCATTCGGCCATATTTCTCTAATCCGAATGACATCCCGTCGTTGTAGACTCGAGTATGGGCGAGTTAGTACCTCGTTCACTTTTTGCCTATAACTTAACTTGCTTATAAAATATATTATGGACTCTTAATAAATTTCTCAGAATCTGTTATAACTCACTTTCAAAACCCTTTAATCTTGCTCAACTCTCTATTAAATCACAATGTCGTGTTTTTTTTTAAAGTCAAATATAAATATTTCCTTAAGCTGTCTTACACAATCTGGCCATTAGAATACTGTGGTACCAAAATCTCGTTATAGATTCGCTGCGAAAACCTTCCTCTAACTTTGTCAAATATCTTGCTTTAGTCCAAAGTATTTCTAAGTTTAATCATCCAACAGCTTGTGCACTGCGATAGTGACAATAGTGACACTGACTATATGGAAGGACTATAGTAGAAGTGAATATTGATAGGGAACTGGAAATGAGTTTTGAGGAAATATGAGGAGATATGCCAAAGTTTCAGTTTTTTAAAAGACAGTTCTACCTGTCTTTGGGATTAGACTTTTCAATAGCTGGAATAGGTGAAGTGAAGAAGTAATAGAAAAATATGTGATATTTAGCTACAATAAATTAAAAATTCGAAATAGGATTCTCGAAACGATTTTCAGATTCGGTAGGTTCGGTGGATTTCGGTGGATTAGTCGCTTTTCCAGTTGGCTTTGTTTTACCAGGAAGGATTCGCAGGAAGTCTTTAGAACTTACTAAATTTCCAAATTTGACTTTGGGTCATCGAAAATTTGTCCTCATTTTCGCTTATTCTGTTTTGTTTCCTTCAATAAATAAATTATAAATAAATGTTTCTATGAATTATTATTTGTTTCTTCAATGATTAATTTGAATTTTTTTCTTTTTTATTCATTAATAATCGCAATTTTTTATAAATTTAATTTAATTTTGAAGGGATTTTTCATTGAAAAAATATTTGTTTGAAATCTCATAAAGAAAAAATGACAATTTAGTAGAGGAGGATGAGTTGAATGTTGAATTATGTACATTCCATGCAGTAATGAGAATTCACCAGCTCGGCTTTCTGTCCGAGTTTTGGAAGCGAGGAATTTGCCAATTATGGACAAATCGAATGATACAACCGACGCGTTCGTTGAAGTTTTTCTCGGATCTCAAGTAATACTTTTTTCCCACATCGAAAATTGCAAAATTTGCTATAAATTTCCCTTGCATTTTGCTAAATATTTCATTTTCTTTCATTTATAAGATACGTACTGTATGAATAGATTAAACGAATTCTTATTATTTTAGCTAAATGAAAATTTAACTATTTCAATAGCGTTTTAAGAAAATATCTGAGCGTAATAATATTCTTGCATAGCAGGCAAAGTTGCACGTCATAAAAGTAATCATAATTTTTGCTCAGCCATAAGAGGTTCAATTCGGCTCGATCAGCAGCCACGCTTATTCATCAGTGATAAAATAGGATATGGAGTTAGAATGCTGGTAAGGTAAAAGATAAGGAGCTGAATGAAGCACACTGCAACATTGGCAACGGGAAATATAAAAGATAAAGAAAAAGGAAAAAGATAGAAGAAAGAGCGTGCAAACAGATGATTTCTCATTGACATTATTCACATAATCGAAAAGCAACTAATAACCATGAACTATTTTATTAAATCAGTTTTTATGCTGTTTTTATATTTAAAAACACATATTGCCATTAAAGAAAAGTTAGTGTAAGGTTTCAGAACTATTATAAAAATTACGAAATTATGTATTTGATACTTCAAATTCTGAATTTTTGCAGATATATAAAACAGAAATTTGTTGCAAAAATTTAAGTCCAATTTGGAATTCTGAAGAATTTATATTTGAGACTGATGAACAGAGTCTTTTTGATAACCATCTTTCATTTCGGTTAGTTAAAATTAATTATACTTTTTGATGGATCATTAATATGAAGACAATTGATTTAATTTGTTTTGGTTGAACTCGGCGACTTGACTGGAAATAAAAAAAAGTCGTAAATTGCGTAAATAGCGTAAGTTGTGGGCATTTGTGAACTAAATGCTGTTCTCATATTCTTATTCTTTGTGAAGAATGATTTAAAATGATAACCAGTGTATTTATATTTTTTTCTAATTTTCATTTCTATTTTTCTTTCCAATTAATTTAACTATATTGGCGTTTCCATTTTTAATTTTTATCTTGTTTTTGCCAGCTTGATTAATTTTCTAAAATTTAATAGAATTATTTGAAAATTAATGTTTTAAATTTGTAATTAATATTTTTATAATTTTTTTAGTATTATGGATCATGATACTTATTCTGCTAATGATGCAATTGGGCGGATATTTTTCGATGTAAATATGTTAGTAGCTAGAATCCGCCATTCAGAAACTGAAACATATTTCACAGAAATTTCCGCTTGGTTGCCAATCTACGATACAATTCTTGGTTTGATTTTTTTCTGGCTTTTCATACCAATAAAACACTAGTAAAAATTTTTTAAATTCAATCTTAAAAATTTCTTTAAAATTACTTGGTCGCTTTTTCTTTTTTTGTACCATAATATAAGGAAAATAATATTCTATTATAATTCTATATATTCTATTCTATTTTGTATTCTATTATAATTTTATTTAATTTTTTACGAATGTTAAGTGGTGATCCAATAAAATTATCTAAAATTTTTTCCTGCCTTTTCATTTTTAAAAGATTTTCAGGTCTAAGAGGAGAATTGCATGTCTATATTTCATTGAAATTGCTGGTTTTGAATGCAACTGCAAAATACATTCACGTTCTTTCTAGTAATTGTTTTTTATATGAGCATATTCAACATGTTTCTCGCACGAAACGAGGTTTTTTAAATTTTTCAGCAAAGATTATTCCTCCACATCTTCGGATCGTTTCAATCTTAGGATTACTCAGCGACATTCAAACAATATCAGATCCAGAATACCAATGGATCGATAGAATCAGATCCCCTCGCGCATCCAATGAAGCACGGCAATATATCATTCGAAAATCACTGAGAGATTTGGCAAGAAATATTGCACGAAAAGCATACTCTTTAGGAGCGAACGCCATATTTGGGTTTAAATTTTTTTTACAAAATATTATTGTTTTTTTCATCCATGTGAATAAATGCCGTTTTTCTTGCAGATATAATGAATTCGCAGATATTGAGGGTGAAAGTACAGGACAAATATCATTTCGTGTTTATGGAACAGCATTAAAACTTGTCCTTTGCGACAAAGAAGATGCAGTAGTAGAGAAAATTCTGTATCCATTGATATCGTTAAGTATTCTTCCTATTCCATATGTTCTCGGCTTTGCTGCCATTGTTTGTGCTCGAGTGGTTCATATTCTTGAAGATGACGATGATATAGATGAAACAAAGAAGAAGTCTCTTGTGCTCTTTATTTTTTTGTACTAATTTTTGATTAAGCAAAAAATATATAAAGTTGGATTTGAGAAAATAACCGAGATTTGAACCATTTTCCAAAAAATTTGAATAATTTACTTCTGTAATTATTGTTTCTATATAATTCGTATATAATGAGTTCTTAAAAATGAATTTTTTCCATGTAAAACATGATTTTGCGAAATGAGATTTAAATTTACTAAATAATCTTTCTATAATTTTTACTATATTTTTTTATTTTTGCAATATTTTTTACCACTATGAGTGAATAAGAAATGTCTCTGAAGTAATTTCATTTTATTGTTTTTAGATGGTGGAATGAATTAAAATTAGAACTTCTTCGGCAGGCCTTTCGTTTAGGATGTAATGTAGTGATAAGCTATGCCGAACAACTCACAGTTCGTGGAAAGATTGCATTGTTAAGTTGCTCCGGCTCTGCTGTTTCAGTGGCTTTAACTAAAAATTCTCTACCAGTGAAGTCTTGTAGTTTTTTTCACGTACCATATTCCAGTGATGCTGTGCCATTTAATGTTGTTCTTACAAAATGTGTTTTGTGCAAGTCAGTATCTTAATATTTATTTTAACTTTTTGTGTATATCTTCTTTTATAAATTATTTCAAAACATTTTGCAATATTTTTTTCACAAATTATAAAAGTTAATCAAATTATAAAAGTAGTTAATTATAATTATAAAGTAATTAATTATATAAAGTAATTAAATAATTAATTAATTATAAAGATTAAACATCAACATTTTGGAATTTGGCGAATTTTCAAATATTATTATTATAGCTCAGGTCAATGTGCTGATTTGGTAATAAGCAGTTGTTGTGTGCCTGCTCCAAATCTTTTAATCGGACAGCGACTTCCTTTGCAAGTTCATGTAATCAGAAAAATAACATCGCCAGAATTCGATGAACAAACGGCATTAGAAATTAGTCGCGTAAATATTATCCATAGTTTGTGATTCTTTCCCCACTGCATTTGATTTAAATACAGAAAGTATCTCTTTATTTGCCATGATAAAGAATAGTCGAGATAAAATGAATACAGTAAAAAAAATTTATTTTAGGCACTTCCATTTATGGAACATGAACTCTATGATAAAATAGTTCAGGAAGCTCGTTCAATAAATATTCATTTTAATGCTATTTTCGATTTAAAAACTTTCATTATATTAAGCGAAAGTTTTATTTTAGCAGTCGCTTCAGGAACAGTTTGTGCAATTAAATGTTTAGGGGTAAGTTTCATAAAAAAATTTTAGTCGTATCTTTATCATATTTGAATATTTATTTTTTAGTCGCGTTCATCGGTTTCTTCTGCGGCTTTAACAGATAGGCGGTTGGCAGATAATCGAAGATTTTCGTGGACTTCAGTTTGTGATGCCATGCGTTCGAAAAATTTGAATTCTTCCACTAGTAATAATTCTACTATGATTTTAAAGGTCATACCACTTAGGTATTCTTTTTGACTTTTTTGATTTTTTAAAATAATCTTTTTTAATGTTTTTTGATTTTTAACCTTTAATTTTTTCAGTTCAATTTTTTTAATATTAATTATCGATTATTTGATTTTCAAAATTTTCATTATCGACCTTATTCTTTCATTGATAAATATATCTTCTCCGTTGCTCTCATTTGATTCTTTGTTTTTCTTTACTTTCCAAATGAAAATTTTGTACATTTAATTACATAATTTAATATATCCCTAAGGCCTAAAAAATTTCCATAGATTTCTTGAATACGGATTGATTGTTTGAATGTGAGTTATGCATTTGCAGAACATCCCTTGTGGTTGCTGAAGATGGAAATCATCGACATCGTGGAAAAATGGAGAAAATTGTCGAAAAATTTCGGAAGAAAGCTATAAGCAGGAGTCAATTTACTCGGATAGTGTTCGAAAGGGATGTTGGTTTACAAATGGGTGTCGTAGCTGAACGCGAAAGTATTTTAAATAATGATATCGCTGGTGTGCATATTTTGGGGACTAGTGATAAATTTGCTGTTACTTGTGAGCCGCATCAAGAGTCTTCTCATTTACTTAATCGGTAATTTTTTTATCATTCGATTTCTTAATAAATGGCTTCTTCCCAATTAATTTGGTGAATTTTGGCCTTAATTTGATGCAGTTTAACTTATTTTTGACTTTTTTTTCTCGAAATATAAAAATTTTTTGATTTTCGTTATATTAATTTTCATTAGAGTTTATTAGTTTAGATTTTTTACTCGTATTATCTTCAGATACACAGCAGTTTTTGTCCGTGAAACTAGCGAGTCAGTAAAAGAAATGGATTTAGATTCCATTATTGAAATGGTATTCAATGATTCTTTGATATCGGTCAGAAATCATGCCAGCGCGATTGGCTGTTCCGGATTGGCTTCATTTTCCATTGTGTCAACAGATTTCCACGCGTGCCGTGATCGTGTCCAAATTCTTTTACTCATTACTGGAGATCTCCTCTACAAAACATGTTTGTGATTTCTTAAATTTATATATGTATGGCATTTGTTCATAGTTTTAAACCACCTGCAAATTTTCACTTTATTAATCTTCATTAACCACGGGTTTTTTTGGTAAAATTCATTTATAGACTTTGCTAATTTTTTTATTAATTTGATGGACTTCACTTATTAATTTGAAATTTGGAAATTTTATGATTCAAATTTTATTTTCTAATTGATTAATTTCTAATAAATTTACAAAATAAAACTTAAATATATATGTTCTCTTTATATTCTTACTTCAAGTTTTCTCAGTTTTCTTATATCTTATTATCCACGTCGACCATATTGATCTCATATTGGTAATTGGCATAAATAGTGTTTCCATATATTTCGTCATGAATTATATTATATTTGAAACGGAATATTATATAGAAGGCTTTAATTTGCATGAAATAATGCAAAATTTCAGCAATCAGCAGAGAACAGAATTCGAGTCTGTTTTTGTTTTGCTTTTTGTTTCTTTGTATTATTTAATAATGTGTTCATTGGTTAATATCACTAATAAATTTTGATACAGTATGAAATAAAAAACAGTTTTATGCATGTTTTGTAAAAGAAATACGATTTTGCATTTAAATTCGAAATTTTTTAAATGATAGATTCGAAGTTTTCTGAAAATTTAAAATTATGTGCAATTTTATTTTTTGATTTTCTGGAAATTTATGAACGACTATATTAAAACAAGTTGCAGAATGCATATGATTAGGAATTGTCAAAGAATTTCATTATTTTAATTAATTTTAGGTCATTTCAGTTTATTTTAGGCATCCACAGTTTGCATATTATAAAATTTATTTCTTTTTGAAATTTGGAATTTCTACCATTATTTTGCTTTTTAAAAATATCTACGATATCTAAAGTGTTTCGAAGATTAATGATGGAAAAAATATCACGTTACGTCAAATTTTTTCATTTATTTATCAATTTCAATAAGCAATCGTCCTGGGAAACTAAAACCTGGAAAATCTGCATCGCTTGCGTTATATGTTCGTTCAGGAATAAGCGATGCTAAAATAGAATGGGAAATATTTTCTTGAGAAAGTAGTTTGCATATCTTGAATATTAGAAATAAAAATTTATTCTTAAAAATTCATTCTTAACCGAACAACAAATGCTACCTGGATTTGGTTTTTGCCGGATAAATTCGTGGTCTATCTGTGAAGTGTCCATGTCATCCTTTATTTGTGGAACAAATGGTGGTTTCAGTTTTTTTTGAAGAAGCATTTCGAAGTCGATTGGTTCGAAAAATCGATGCTCTTTAATTTCTTGGAAATCGCTTTTTGCTCCGAGTCGCTTGCGACAGTTTTTATGCAATAACTGTTTGCATGAATTTATTTAATTTTTGCGAATACAATTAAGTTCGATCGTTGTTATTATAGTTATTTATTATTATTATTTTTATTAATCATTTCCGAGAATCCAATTAGAATTTAAGGGGTTTACCAATTATATTTGTTATTTATTATATTTATAAACCAATTTATTAATTATGTTCATACACCAAATCCGAATTAAATAATCATTTTTCAAGTGGAATTGTCTTGATCGTTTCCCACAAAAAACAAAAAAGTTTTCTATTGAAGAAGAATTTTTTAAAAATTGTTATTTTTAATTAAATTTGAATGATTTGAAAAATTTGAAAAAATTTGAAAAATTTTATTAAATTTTTAATTCAATTTTTTTTCGAAATTTTCTGGCTGACTTAAATCTTCGTCAGCAGAAAAGAATTAATTATTCGCTCATTATTGAAAAGGCGAATCATTATGAAATCTCAAACAGGTACTGATTGTTTTTCTTCTGCTTCAACTGGCTTTTTTCTCTTTTCCTAGTTCCCAAATTCGCTTTGGAATCATTTTTACACTTTAAAGGTGAAATGACTCAGCTCAATAAGTTGCTGTCAATTCGGAGCGCCAGATAGGAATAAACAGTCTTTTAAAATCTGGATGATGATGCTGGTAATTCACCTGGTTTCTATCGCCAACTGAATCCTTGGCAAAATTTGTCTGGTTCAATAAACCAGTTAACCTAATCAACAATTGTAAAAGCCTTTTGAAAAACAAAAAATCGAGGGTTATTTAAGGGTTATTTAATCGAGGATTATTTCAATTCATTTCGAATTTAAAACTGAAAATTTCAATCATATGCATCGAACAATTCGTTATTTATAAATTTGACTTAACTGACTTTCATAATCGCCGTTATCTTTCTCACATCCATTATTTTAAGACAAAAAACTAAGTTTTGTTTATGAAATTGGAAGAAAAATTTTTACCATTTTAAGAATTTGCTTACAGCTTGGACTTATATTTTTCGGCATTGATAGTGGTTGATGTAATATATGATCATACATTATCATTCGTTCTTTGCTATAGAATGGAGGCTAAAATAATTATTTGAATTTACAGTAACGATTCGTTATGCATTTTTTCAGAATTAGGATTCAGAAAAAATTTTACGATTATAGAGAGCGAAATTAAAGACAAAATTTTGAGCATCTTGATAATGACAAAAAATTTACTAGTCCAGTGAGCATTTCAAATAGAACAGATCCAAGGCACCACCAATCTACGCCATAATCATACGGTCTCTTAAGAATTATTTCTGGTGCAAGGTACTCGGGAGTACCACAAAATGTGTCGGTCATGTCGCTAGATTTCATGTTTTCCTTACAAAGACCGAAATCCGTCAAGACGACATGGCCAGTTTTTTCTAATAAAATATTTTCAGGCTTGAGATCTCTATAAATTTTCATATTAATAACAAATTTTATTGATAAGCCCATATTCTTAAAGAACAGCAGTAATTAAGCTCCAAAGGTTAAAGGCTCCGCTATGTTTATTTTTTTTCTTTAAAGTCTATTTTTTTTAAAATTTTGAGGAAAGAAAATTGAAGTTTTCAAACATTATTCTCAATTTCCAGAAAAATTCGCTAACAAATTTATATTTACCGGTAAATTATATTGTTTTCATGCAAATATCCAAGAGCACATCCAATTTCTGCGATGTAAAATCGCGAACGATCTTCCGTAAAACGCTTTTCCTTTTGTAAGTGAAAGAAGAGCTGAAAAATCTATTTATTTTTTATTATAATAGCGCTCACCACTTCCGACTCGCGTCGTTGATTTGTCAGATCTGACAAATTTTGTAAGGAAAAAATTTGGCGATAAAAATACAAGCTTCAGTTTATGGAATAACGTATTTTTTTTATTCACCTAAATTTTAACCGCTTTATTCATTAACGCTTCCAGTTTTAAGAGCCTTTTTTTTTGGAAAGATTGGCTTTAAGTGATAATTTCAAGAATTTTGCCAAATTTATCGATGAATTTTATGTACATAAGAAGTATTAACGACAAAAGAAAACAAATCGCGAAATTACCTCACCGCCATTCAAATAATCGAGAGCGAAATAAAGCTTATCTTTTGTTTGAAAACTATAATGAAGTGCAACAAGAAAGGGGTGATGAACATTTGATATAAGTACACTTCGTTCAGCCATTACATGTTTAATTTCGTTCCTCAGTTTTATTTGTTCCTTTCCCATCACCTTCATTGCATATACTTTTTTATCAAAGCGATGTTGCACTAAATAAACCTAAAATGCGAATGAGATTTTCTCGTTATCACATCGACATATTCTATTCTTAACACTAATTTCTTAATCTTATCGTTTACTGGATGATCTGAAAGCTTTAGATTAAATTTGTAAATGAATCGGGAAAAAATCATTATAAAGACTTAATTTATAATATTCGTCTTTGATATAATGCATATATGAAATGAAATAGTAAAGTTTTTTTTCGTAAAACTAAGAATTATCACTATATGTGTGTAAATTCACCTTGCCAAAGCTTCCCTTTCCAATAGTTTTAAGGAAATCGAAGTCACTAGGTTTAACACTGAAATATCTTCAATATTAGAGGAAATATAAATGGAAAAAGATGAGAATCTAAGCTTATTTGTTGAAAAATCATTTATCAATTTTTCAATTTCAATATGATCAATTTTTAATATTTCTATTATTGCGATAACAGTAATCCCTCATCGTTTATCGTTTGCGCTGATAACTTTTTATATCGAATGTTAATAAGTTTTGCTGATTTCAGTCCACAATTTGTTAATCCGCCAAAAGTCATCATTTTGCTCGATTTTATCCGATATCTTCATGAAAATACTTTAAAGCTGGCAGAATCGTGGTTTGCATCTGTGATTTACGAATGGAATTACTGTAAAATAAATCTGCTTGAATAAAGTCATTAATATGATCATTAAACCAATCATTAAACCAACTTTTTTCTTTCGGATATACCAAGAAAAATGTGTTCTTCTTGATTTTCGCTAAAACTGTTACCTAGTTTGAAAAATTCGCGTACTTCACATCTAAAAAACAATATAAAATTTTTCTTCGTTCAAGAAAAATGAGGGTAAAAAAATTGAACTTTAGATTTAAAAATTTATATAAAGATTATTGTAAATTTCCAAAAATTTTTTTCTTAAAATCTTGTGATTGTGCAAATTTATAGTTCTCAAAGAAAATGTTTAAATTTCACGTTGATTAAGATTAAACTTACTTATTTGAGTGTTGACTGATAAGAAAGGCAGCAAATTTTTCGCTCCATATGCGTCTTATTTCTATTAATGGCAAACAAGGCTGTAAAAATTTTCTTTTTGGTGGTCCACCTATATCCGAATCTACCCAATTGTTCTGCCGAGCGATGTTATAGAACTTTTCCATTTCCGCAAAAGTTTTCCTTACCCCATCATTATCAGTGATGCATATCACGTAGAACTAATCGAAAAAAACAGTCCAACTAATCAAAATATCAATATTTTATTTATAGAATATGTTGTATATAAACGTATCGAAAATTGGAATATTTGAGACTATCTTGGAAATTTTAAGGATGGACAGAGAATGATGTGCTTTTTCTCTAATTCTTTTTAGAACACAGAACTGGAACAGAGTTTTTAAAAATTTATCTCAAAAATTTAGCAATAAATGTAATATTAGATTTTATTTTTGCAAAAGTAGGTTTAAAATTTAGGTTTTGCGAAGAGCATTAATTCATTAAAGTGCATTAATTTATTATCTAAAATCAGAATGAAAAAAAAAAAACTAACAGGATTTCGTTTATTGTCGATATAATCGATGCAGCAATGTACTCGTGACAAGGTTGTCGCCATATTTGATACATACATACATATATTATCTACCTGATAGTGAGTGGTTGCTTATCAATGGCGAATATTGATCTGAATGTGTCATCAAAAAAATTCTTTTAATTTCTTCCTTTTTCGCCAATTTATTCATTGGCTAATTTGTTCACTGCCGATAATAAAAACGAAAATAATAATCATTACTAGAGAAAATAGCTACCATGATATAATCACAAATAATAATTATTTTTTCATCTTTTAAAATTTTAAATCAAAGCAAAATATTTCATTAAAATTTGCAAAATTACACTCCAATTATTAAAAAGTTTCTCATATTTTAATAGTCATATCGAATAGAATTCGACTCACATCTTTGACTAATTAAATAATCGTGAATTGTTAATTTAGTTGATTAGCGAACAACAGCAAAAATATACTTCGTTTCGATCTGTAAAATGAAATAAGTAAAAGATATAGTTAACATCCAACACAGAATTGCTGTTAGAAATTTTCCAGGCAATCAATCGGAAATAAAAGTGAGTTGCTAGTGCCAATGGGATTTTTTAATGACATGTTTGTTCCTATTAAGATCAAGGAGCTGAACATCAACGCAAATCTAAGATCAATCTAAGTAAGCCGACAATCTCAGTAGAGTATTAATTTCTTCACTATTAACTTAGATGTTTGTTTTTTTTGTTTTTAATATCTTTGATATTAAAATAATCATTTAAATATATCCGAGTAAATTTATTTCTATTCTTTTCATATATTCTCTTAGATGATGAAATTGCTCGGTAATAAATCGTTCTTTTTTCTATTACTTTATCGCTCTTAAATTCTTTAAATTTTTAAATTTTTAAAAATTTTTTAAATTTTTTGCAAATTCATATTATTTCATATAATTACTTTGGAATTAGAATTTCAACTTGACAATTTAAAAAAATTATTGAAATGTGAGTGAGTGATTTAATTCATAAAATCTCTCATTTAGTTTTATCTCATGCATTTTAAATGTGCTTATTTTGATGAGATGTTGATTTTTTTAGTTTTGTTTTTCTTTCATTTTATTTTTATCTTTATCTTTATTTATTTTATCTTTTTTACTTTTATTTTTTCTGAAGGAATTTTTTTCGCTCATCGAAAAAGCAGTGAAGCAACATACGACATTTGTCCCTTAATTGAGGTTCAAATTAATCAAAAATTATTCTTTTCTTTTATAATAGATAAAATAAAGTAAAAATAATTAATGATGCGATTTTCATGGCTTTGCATATTTTCGATTGACAGACATCAAAGAAATTTTTTTTTCGTTGTGCTTTAGTCTGATTCCAATATTCATTTGATTATGGAATTTGCTGAATTAATATTTTTCTAATAGAATCTCCGAATTTTATTTTATTTCTTCTTCCACTGCTATATATAGCATTTATGGTTTGAATGGTTTTTACTAATAAGATGGTAGCCCTTTGCCAGAGAGCCAATAAAGTATAAGTGAGTTTCCAGCACCAGTCTGATCTTACTTTTCATGACAAATTTATTTCTATCGGAGGATAAGAGCGCTCAACTGATCCTTTTACTGTATTTGCTCATTTTATTTATTTTTCGTTTAACTATTATTATTTGATTTTTAAGATTTTCCCAGCCTTTTTTTGAATTTTATCTCCTTGATAGCGAAAAATTTCTTTCAAAATTTCTTCTTTTAATTGAAATCCCTTTATTCTATGCATTCTATCTATCGTTATTCGCTTGCAAAATAGCAATAAATATAGATTTGAAATGGTTATTCAACACATATATTTCAAATTAACGTTACTGTACCTTCTAAGTTTTATTGCATTTGCATTCAAAGAAGATTTACAAGCGGGACGAATGATTTCATCATTTCCAAACTTTAATGCTCTTTTTCGTACGTATGGTAAACGCCAATTGATACCAATATCGGTAAGTTTTTTTTCTTCAATTTCGACATATTTCCAGCATTTTTTCGCCTAAACGGATAAAATTTTAATGTAATACATAATATATAAATAAATATATAACTGCAAAAAACGTAAATTTTTTTGTAAAATGAAAAGGAATATGAAGCAGTGAAACAGTTTTGAATATATACTTAAATATTTTACATGAGGTTGGTAAAATCTTTTTGGACATCAGACGATAAAAAAATTTTTCAGGATAGCGGATGGTACGACGTGTTTCGATCTATAAATAACGAATAAAAAGATGATAAATATTGGATGAAATTTATGCAGAATTCGCTGAGTGAAATGATCTCAATTTTTTTTCATGATTTTTAGTTCAAAGGATGTGAGTAAAGTGATCAAATAAATATTGTGTTAATGCAAAGATGGAAAAATTTTTAATTTTTTGCACCATAACTTCTTTGAACCAGGAAAACAGAAAAATTAGCCTTCGATATGTAACTCCCTTATAGAAAAAAAACCTGTATCTGAAAAACCTTTTGATACACAACTCACTCACTTTTTCTGGTCAGTGCTGCTCTGTCAGCTTTCAGAAACTGATAAATTCTGCCACAGAAGCAACAGTATAAATCTTCAGCGCCACCTGGACTTTTTAAGATTCTTTACTACTATCGGGAATCCAACTCCAATACCACTGCTTGAAATCAACAAATCGCCGAGTCATTCTGCGCTATGTTTCTTCATATTAATGATTATTTATTTATTTTAAGCAGATTTTTAAATTTAAATATAAATTAAATATAAATATAAATAATAAATATCATATAAATTTTTATTGATTTTCTTCGAAAAATATATCAAAAAAAATTATTAAATAGAATTAATTGATCAACTGATATAAATAAATAATGTGATAGCAGAGCTAAAACGGGAAAATTACCAGAAAAATTACGAAAGGTGTTAGATTAAATTAGAATGAAGACGAACGGCTGATGATTTATTGAAAAATATATACAGGAAGAACAGGTTTAAACAAAGGCAATATGCAATGGCTGATATATAATCTGTATTTATATAATTTATTTATCCATTATCGGAGCCATTTCGGAAATTAAACTGATGAAAGAAGCTATTTTCTTTGTTGCTATTTGGTTTTCACTCGTTGGTTACTGTTATTCAACACCTAAAAAGCCGTATTATTGGAGTAAGTCCAAACATTATAACTTTACACATAATTTAAAGCTTTTTCTTTTTCTTCCTATCTTTAATGTCTCTTTCCACTTCTTCATTAATTATTAATTGTTATTACATTCTATTCTATCACAAAAATGCAATGAGATTTTTCATATTAAGTTAGTACCATGATATGATTTTTAAATAATATGTACAAGAAAAACTTTTCAATATCAAAAAAAATTCTGCCATTCGTAATCTCGGAGGCAAGTAATTTGCTACTAATCAAGAAAAATTAAGAAAGCTTATGATTTGCAGCAACAAGGAAGTTTATTTGTAACACTATTCATGGCCACGATGTATCAAGATGTGCCTTGCATATGTCCGATCGAAAAGTTGAATTAAATCCTGGATGCCACGAGGAGCTTAAGGAGGTGGCAGAAGTAATGTCTTAAAAATTAATATAGAGCCGAATGCCGAGTTTTTCAAATGCTTTTCTGAGTCTTTTATTTTTTCAATTTTCTGCTTTTCATAGCTTTTCAAAATATCTTCATCGATTATATATCGGATACATCATCGCATATTTCTCCTTATATTATTATATTATATTATTATATTAGTATATTATATTAGTATGTTAAAATATCACATTAGATAGAATGGTTGAGAATGTATTACGCATTTTCTCGAATCTTTAAAAAAAATCCAAAAAAATTTCTATTGTTCACAGGTTTTGATAAATGTGTTGATTAAAGGAGTACTTTAAATTCCAACAACGAAACTTTCTGCTTTCTTTGAATAGTTTCCAATTTTCGACAGGATTTCTCTTGTCCTTTTATACTGAAATTTTAAATAGCACATTGATGTTGAACTATTCAAAGAGAATTGTCATTTGCTTTAATTGTTTAATTGTTGAATTTAAAGCCGAAATTAATGAAGATAGGCTGAAATAACAACCAATGAAAATAATAACTGCAGAATAATCAAACAAGAATTTATTGTCGTATTATGTGCGAGGAGTCTAATGACATAACGATATTGAACAAAATTCCAACATGGAACCATGTTTGCAATATTTTTTATAATTATCAGCTGGAGCGTCATCGTGAAGACTGGTTAAGTTATCAAGCCGAATTTTTAATACTTTTTCAAAAAATTTAAATAAATATTGCTTTGAAATATGCTAATTATGATTTAAAATTAAAAACTACAAAATGATGAAATGATAACGCGAATTTTCGATTTTTATAAAGAATTATATTACATTATAGACATTATTTACATTATAGATGTTATAGATGATAATACCATAAACTTTCTTTAATTTCTTAACAGTTCGCATCTTTGCTGACTTTCGCATCTTTGTCAGCTATTTGAGGCGTTTTCAAGCTTTCCAATCCGATGCCATGCCTATGTAACAGGATCTACTCCTTTCTTCTTTTCGACTGCTAGACTGTCTATATTAATTCTCAGAGTCTCGTTCGGAATCATCTCTGCTACTTGAAGATAAATGAAATCGTGTAATAATCGTGTAATATAATCGTGTAATTCTATATACCCTGTTGACACCTAAAATATACTTTAGGTATGAGTGATCAAATAATAGCTCCTTGATATTTTCCTTTTTAGACAGGGAGAACTTTCATTTTGATGATTTCACAGCAATCCTTTATAGGTTTCGCCAAGATGAAGAATGTATTAAATCCGTGATAAAATTAAATAAAATTTTTACTGATAATTTGAAGGTATCTTTGGAGATCAGGCGATTGTCTCAATACGACAATAACATTTGAGATTCGCTGTGGTTTCGCAAGAGATCCAAGAATATTCTACCGCGAAAATACCAAGTTATTCGAATACGATGATGCTGTTGATGACAGAAATAATAAAATTAAAAAAATAAAAACACGCAATTAATAATAAAATTTTTTTATTATTTTACGAGAGTTCTTCTAAATGCTTTCCATTTTTTCCGTGAAAATTTAGAAATGTTTAAGATTAATAATGCCCTTAAACGCCCTTAAATTATTCAACATATTCGTTTTATTTTGTGCTTTGTTTTGTTTATTCAACATATTAGTGAACTGTCGACCGTTAAGTGGCATAAAAGTTTTACGAAATGGACATAATGTATAGTTTGGCACTAATTCTTTAAACTCTCATTAATAATTTAATTCTTTTAAAGCACAAAACAAAAATAATTTAAGGGAAATGAACAAAAAAGGAAAGTAAAATTTAAAAATATCTGTTGGAAATATTGACAAGAAATTCTCCACAATGGCCAAAGTAATCAGTTGTTATTCTTAAAATTTATGAATTCTTCCTACTTAGAAAGGGAGAACGAAATATATCTTGAGCAATCTGATTTCGACTGCTAACTTCTATTATAATAAAAGCGGTTCTAACTAACATGTTGAGACTTCCTTCTAAAAGTAACTTTCTGGTGAAACAGCTTCAACAAGCTATAACTAAATAAAACTTGTTTCATACTTATTTTTTATTTTATTCTTAAAAAAAAGAAAATAGTTAAAAATACAATAAATCATTTATATATTTGTTTATATTTGTGTAATGATAAAAAATTTCCGGACTTTCCTTTTTTCGATTTAACTTTCGATTGAAACCAGTGAAAATTGTGTCTACAAAGAGGACTGAAATTATTTATTCGAATTAGAATACTGTTTGGTTTTATTCATTGAAAATATTCTCGAGCATTTCGAACTATTGTATGTAATTTTCTTCCTAATTTTCTGCTCTTTTGCAAAATCGCATTTATTAAATTCTCTTTCATCCACAAGCTATTTTATAAAACTCTGATTTTCATGCAAATTGATGTTTTCTTTTAGCATGTAAATCGTCGATTTCAGTTCAATTTCTTTCAGTAATTATTTTCATATTTGGTGTTTTATATCATAAATTTATATCATAAATTTTTGAAAATTATGATGACGTTAAAAAGACGAATTTCTGCTTTTGTTATTTCTCCTTTATAATGGTGTTGAAGAATTCTCATAACAAATTTATGCCAGAGAGTCCCTTTGCGATATAGGTGAGTCGCCAGCACCGCCCTGATTTTTGGATAAGTTTTCTCTGCGAGGAATCGAACCTCAGCATCGGCGCTCCGAATTTAGCAACAACCTACTGAGCTAATCTATCACATAGTGATGTTATTTAATGAATCAAGAATGATTTACTGAGATCAAATCAAACGATTTGTGCTTTAACACAGAAATTTATTTTTTCATTCAAAGAGAATATGCAAACAAAGATTTTAAAACATTCATTTATCAAAGGCACCATACACCAACCAGTCGAGCTAATTGATATGAGGATGATTTTTTATTTTTTATTCAATTTTTTAATTTTCGTGAAAAATTTTCTAAAACATAATGAACTTCAGAAAAATTATCAAGCATACTTAATTACTAAGTTTTTCTTTATGAACATAAAATGGTATATCTTTAAATCTACACCATGTAGTTATATTTGTTCTACAAGGATCTGTTAACCACAGATACCACTCACCTTCTTTTTGATCGCGATACTTACCATAGGTATAATATTTTTGGCATGAAGGATTATTCTTCGGTGTTTTTACTAGAACCTGCAATTCAAATTTAGTCATTTATTAGTCTATCATCTGCAAAGAAATGATGAAAAATGGCTTAACAGATAAACTTACAGATAAATCAGCGTTCGGTTCGCATCCAATAGGACAAGCTAACCGGGTAGGAGAATTTCGTGCTAATTTATTCCATTCATTTTGTGGCATTGGTTCACGACGACATTTATATTTTTTAGGGTCTCGTGAAATTTTCGCGTTACGTGCAACCAATAAGCATTGATCTGTTTCAGTTATTGAAGAGCAATCAATAGTTCTTTCCTCTTAATTTTGTTAACAATTTTACAGCCGAAAATAAGCAAATATAGATTGTGAACTAATTGATATACGGTATCCCCTATGATTTTTTGAATGATCATTAGTTATGCACAAATATTTCTTAATTTCCTTCAATTGAACAGTAAATAGCCTAAGATTATTGAGCAATTCATCCGGCCTTGCTTATAAGAAAACTGGTTAAATGAAACTTGTTCAGCAATATTTGTGGCTAACAGGTCAGCCAAATTTCAGAAACCAAATAAATAACATAAAAGAAGAAAAGTGAACCCCATCGAGGCCATCGTAGGTCCTCAGTTAATTTCTCTCCAGCTTGACAGTCGACCACAGCTAGAAATATATATGCAATAATAATTTCGCACGCATGCTTCATTTCTAAACATTTTATACATTTTCAAGTATGAAGTATTTTCAAGAAGACATATGAAGAAAGGATTTATTTTAAGTAGCATAAAAATTGGAGGAATTTAATAGAAATTATAGAAATGTTAAAATATTAAAAATGTTCTGCATTTTTCGCGAGCATAAATAAGTTAAAAAGATGAATTTCGAAAAAGCTGCAAATTCAAATGCTGATATAGAAGAAGAAAAACCATTTATTCATAATTCTTCAAAATTAAGCTGACGAAAAATTTGTACTTGTTTAACATTGCAAGAAATAGCTGACATAACTATCAAACAACCAAAAAACCGCAAAAAATTGGTGCATTTGTAATTAAACTAAAATTTTAAGTTAATTTCAACAACGAAATATGGCCCTTTGAACAATAAAAGGTGAATCAAAGATTAAAATTGAAGAAAAATTTAATTTCTACGAAAAACATACGATATTTGAAGTAAGAAGATATTAACGTGAATAACGAGAATTTCTCAAAATAGAAAACAAAAGTGCCAAAAAAGGAATTTAAAAAAAGCCAATAAAGAACCAGTAGTTTGCCAAAATTACCAAAGAGTAAAATATTTTTAAATGACAACTGGACTGTCGACGACAATGGACTTTTTATAGCCTTCGGCGAAAACAAGACCGATTCCTCTTATGTGCAAGTCTTTGACAAGATTTTAAGCAAGATACTAATTAATCTAATCCAGTTTTTATCACTTTATTTAATTTTTGCGAGGATCAAATATTAATTAACAAAAATTTATACTATATATTATATTTAAGGTACTCTAATGCATTTCTACATATAACATTCTTCGTCATACGCAAATAGTAATCGACGTTAGCCATAACTTAAATGTTTTACTATGTTCATCGCGATATGTTCAATAACTGAGCGGTGAAAAATAAGTATCTGATGCGATAATTTAATGTTCCCTGAAAATTGTAATTCCATTATGTACTTCACTAAGCGATTAGAGATTAGGAGTTGGTTGGCAATTTGGAAGCAAGTAACAGTGAGAACAGGCGCGTTCAATGAATATTCAGCATTCAGCATCTTATTCGCGATCAGCAAACTGAATTTTTGATGAAAATGATTCTCGATTTGAGGATCTAACATAAAGACAACTGCTACATAGTGAACGTACATCATCGTCCAAGAACGCAGACTATCTCTATTTTCCGCGTATAACTTTATTGCAGTCCTCTCTGCTATATAGATTAGCATTGATTTGCTTGCTCATCTTTCTTATCCGATCATATTTAAATTGTTATCCATAGAATTTTTTTGCTTTCAATGAACATTCATTCTGAATTTGCTACTGAAGAACTTGAATGAATTTATCATTAATCCTATTTCTTCAATTTTATTTTTAAAATTTCTACAATACTTGTTGAATTATTGTTATTTTAATAAATATTACTATATTAATCTCACTCTCTTCATTTTTATAAATCCAACAGCATTTGAAACAAAAAGAATTATTTTTATTTATTATTTATTTTTATTTATTTTATTAATTTATTATTTTTATTGTAGAGGATGGCATCAAAATCAACACATTTTGATTGCTTTCTTGCTAGTTCGGCTCAATTTTTCCTTTAATTTTTAAAAAGTATGAAATTAAATTTACTAGTAAATCAATTTGTTTTCAGACAGTTTCCTATAATGAAAAATGATTCTTTCTAATATTTCGGCCGTTATATTTATATTCATATGAGATTTCAGATATCCACCAACCGATCTATACATCTCTTTGTTTCGATTCTTATGCAAGGTCTATCCAAATTATAAAAATCATTTTAATCGGAAGCCTTTTTTTCTCTCCCAATGTTTTAACGGTCATTTGATGATATTCATTAGTCATGATTTAACATTTCTTTAATATCTTGTGTGAAAATTTCTCTAATCAAAAATTTTTCAGAAACAAGTCTCGATTGTTCGCATGAAGGCAAATTTTCATGAAATACGTTTATAAACTGTAGTCGAGATTACAATAAACCGACTACGTTTCATCATTTTGTAAACATCTCGGGTAATGACCGAACGATTTAGGGAACGAGTTAGTCATAATTAAATAATTTTGCTTAAAATTAAGGAAATTTGAATAGGGAATTTTTGCGTTCCATTATTTCATTTATTGATAAAAGGCTCAGTTAATTTTTTTATAAAAATATAAACGTCCAGTAGCGTTCCTAGCAATGTTCCGGTTTTAACATTTTATACAGATTCAAAAATGGCAAATGATTATATGTGAGGCTGACGTGGATTTCCAAGGCTCATTTCGTGTTGAAAAGTTCAGATTAAACCGAATAGCCCTCATTTTTTTAATTTAAATTTCTCAGAAGTACTTAATGATTAATAATGATGATAATATTTTTTTATCATTTATATACATCAAAGTTCTTGCTAATGACATATTTGCCCAAAAATTTTTTCCTAAAATTTTTTTAAAATAAATCCATTTCATCAAAAAATCACAACAAATTTTCAGTTCAAATTCATAAAATTTCTATTATAGTTAGGATATCTTTCCGATGAATTTGAAGAACGACCATCGGGAGTTCATCTTAGATCAGTATCGCCACATAAATCAGGTTCACGATCGCCACGACACTCAAGCAAATCACCTAGACCGCACCAAAAGTTTCTTTTCATAAAAAATAGCAAAAGAGTTATCATAGGCATTATTCTAAGCGATCGATTGAATTTCCACTGTAACTTTTAAATGTTCAGAAATGTACATGACATAATTTATATTTCAAAATTTATATAATTATATTTATATAATATATAATTTATATTACAAAATTTTATGAATTTTTCCAAATTTAAATTGATTTGAAAATATTTTCTTTGAATTTTTTTCCTTCTTTTTTAGTATAGAATCTCCCACACCGACTCCTACATTCCGCGATTCTCGCCCTGAAATCATTGCTTGGCCTACACCGCCTAATTCACAAAATATTTATAACAACAATACGACTTGTAAGAAAAGCAATCAAGAAAATATATCAAGTGATGAACCATCAAAACTGATAAATATGCTTAAAGCCGCGTCTACAGGTAATATTAATTTCGTTTTGATATTTATTAATATTTATTAAAAAAGGCTGAAATTGAAAAATAATATTTTTTAATTGAGATTTACATTTCAGGAGCACCAAGAGGAAGAGAATCTGAATTAAAGAAGAAAATCCAAACTCTAGAAGATACAGTTGCCGAATATGAGAGGCAAAAATATAATGTGATGGGAACTTTTAGGTTTGATGTTTCATATTCTATTCAATTTTATATCATCAAATTTTTGGAGTAAATCATCAGAAAATTTATAGTGAATATCGGGAACGCGTGGCTGAACGTGAAAGAAAACTTGAAGCAGAATATTCAAACAAAATAATAGCTTTAAGCGAAGAAGTACTTGGAGCCAAAAAAGACTTTGAAGCAAGAATGAAAAGTTTTCAAGCATTACAAGTAAAGAAATTTAATTCTTATAAATTGGCAAAAATGGATGTTTAGCGAGGAATCAAAATTGTATCCTTTCTTTATCGACAGATAATCATTTTGGTTCTCATCATTAATAGAAAAAAAGTAGAGCGAACGAAGTTTTTCTGGCTATCATTATTATTATATTTTATTATTATATTATTATTATATTTTATTTCAAGGAAAAATTTGAAAGGGAAAAAGAACAGGCACTGGAAAAGCTCCGCCAGGAACATCAAAAAGAGATACAATTATTGGAGCAACGTTTTTCAGAGTCTCAATTACTTAATTTGGAACAGAAGTAAAGCCTTGTCAAGTTTGGATATAAATTAGATCCAAATCCTTTAACTTTACTTGTTTTTAGTAATAAATAAGAGTTGGTCGATTTCCTATGTATTTTTATGGTTCAAAAATAAATTTTGATAGGAATTGTACCAAATCAATCAATTCATGCTTTTTTTTTAGATATATGATCGAAATACAGCGCTTAGAAGAGGAAAGAAAAAGTTTAAAGTCGGAAAAAGAGCGTCTCGGTGAAACATTTGAGATGAAATTGCGGCGGGCGCAAAGTTTATATGAAACAGAGTTATCTGCCGCAAAAATGCTTTATTCAAAAGAACTCGAAGCTTTGCGAGATCATGAAGAAGCACTTAAAGAAGAGTTGTTGGCAAGGTTTTTAAAAAATAATAATTAATTCGAAAATGAAATATTTATCTATTTTAAAATACAAAATAATTTTAATATTAGACAAGACGAATTTTATGATCGTTTGCAAGAATTACAACATCAATCGAAAATAAGTCGAGAGGAACTTGCAACATGCAAAAATGAAGTTACAGCGCTGGAGAAGCGTTTACAAGCTAAAGAAGCAGAAGCGATGGCTATTTCCAAAGAGGTTTGTCACCTTATAACTTAGCAAAACATCAACCATCTCAAATCTTTTCTTTTGATTGATGAATTTGCTCAAAATTCTCCGTGAAAAATAAAATAAAATTATTAATTATTAATTTAAAAAAATAACTACAGTTGGAAGAAGCAAGAAATGAAACGAACGATTCACTTCGTAAATTATCAAAAATTGAATCTGAAGTGCAGCAAACAAAGCAGCAATATCGTCAACAGGAAGAGGAATTACAGAGGAAATCAAGTAAGTTTGCAAAAAACAATTTTTTCCATGTTCTTTTATCTAATTTGAGAGAGAGTTGAGAGAATATTTAATTTTAGGTTTGTTAAATATTGTTGAAACTGCGAAAACGAAATTGGAAGCTGTCATTCGTGATTTGCAAACTGAAGTGAAAGCGCTTAAAAATAAAGTTGAATTTTTGGAAAAAGAACGCGAAAATCTTCAAAGTCAAAGTGAAAGTCAAACTCAATTGCAAAATTCACAAGTGCTTGCGCTAGAAGCAGTACGTATAGCACTTTAAAATTTCATCAATTCATCAATTTTAGTAATACATAAAAGATTTGGTAATACACTTAATAACATAAATAATATATAATATAAGCAAAATATAAAAAATAATGCTAGAAATATAAAAAATAAAAACTTTTAAATCAGAGATTTTCACCTATTAGACCAATGATAAATGAGAGAGAGAATGACTAAATAAAAGCCTCCGTTCTCAACTGATTATATATTACTAAATGTTAAAACATTCTTTTTATTTGGTAGTTCTAATTTTATCCATAAGAAAAATAATTTTTTAAATAGATTTTTCCCGAATTTTGAAAAAATAAGTTTCTAACAACATTAATTTCGAAACTATTAAAGGTTTTGGAATCGGTTACAAAAGAAAAAGAAAGCACCAAGCAGCATTACGAAGGTCTGCTCGACAAGGAGCGTCAACAAGCAGAAGAAAGAGAATTTGCTATGAAAAAGGAATTTACTTCGAAACTCAATGAACTTGAAGATCAGTACAATTCACTAAGAGACCATTTCGAACAAAGTAATCTCATGGATGAAGTGAAAGAAGTATGGGAAATCAAATTTTTTATAATAAATTAAAAGATGATACGCAAACCCATCATTATTTTTAATTTCAGTTTTTAAAAAAAATTGATCGCGTTTCACTTTATATAGATTATTATCTCATCTCATTCAATTGATAAAACGGCCTATAAATAAATAATGGTTGAATTGTTGAAAAAAATTTCAGCAAATTTTAATTCAAGTTGTTGCAGAGTGAATTATCGCCTTGAGAACCGGTGGTTCGCAAGTGCTAATCACTCGCTTTTTTTGCATAATTAATTTAACAAGATATGAATAAATTCTTAGCTACCAACTTAGAAATTTAGAAACACCGATTTTCATCTCCGGAAGCTGAAAATTCGACGTTAATTGCTGAAATAGATACAATTAAAGCAAAGATAAACAATGAACGAGCTGACGAAGTTACTATTTTTAAATTAAAATTTAATCTGCGAAAAAATGAAAAGTCTATTTACTAAATTACTGAAAAAGTTCTGTAACCTTCTTTTTATGGTTGATTCATTCAGTTGAAAACTAAAGAGATTTATGAATTTTATTGAATAATTAAACCAAATTCTTAAAAAATTTGAATAGGATTTCAAAGATTTAAAAAATTGAATAAGTTTAATTGATTTGCAAGTAATTTTATATTTTTATGTGCTAAATTCATTATCTTTGTCATTACAGCAGGATTACCAAAAAGAGGAATTTTCAAGTTTGATTGAAAATATAGAAAGTTTGAGAAATGAATTGAAAATAAAAGATACAAAATTGACTGAAATGAAAACGGAGATTGACAAGATGAAAGAGCAAATACAAAGAGAGAACGAACTAAATGATGATCAGCTATCGATGATAAGGAAGGAAATATGGTACTTGGCTTTTTAAATTTTTGTGTGAAATACTATGCATAGAAAAGAAATTTACAATGGAAAATTAATATAAAATATCAATATAAAAAAATCTGCGATTTATATTGGTGATGAAATCACAGGTGATAAATTATTGAATGAGGGTGAATTTTCTTAAAATGTCACATGAATTATGATTTGATATGACTTGTATTTATCATAAATGAAAAGGTGACAGGAGACAGGAGACGAAAATAAGGATGCAATTTTTCCTCTATCCAAGTCTCTCAGGTTTACATCAAGAATCTATTTCTCTAATGCGATACTAACTCGAAAAACTGAAAAAAATTTAAGTTATTGAAATCGTCTAATCATTATGAGAAAATCTTCAAGATTCCTATTTCTATTCTATTAAATTTTAGGGAAGAAATGATGAACTCACCTGAAATTCTTGCCAAAGACAAGGAAATCAATCGTCTCACCAGCAAGGTTAAGGAAATTTCAATATATTATCAAAAATATATAATGAAATGCATAATCAATAATATCGTCGCACTAAAAATCAGGAAAAATAATAAAGAAAAATTCGGCGTAGATGCAATTTAAAATAATTTACTTCAAGTGGATTTTGGATTTTCCAAAGAGGAAGTTGCTGAATGAAGGAAAAATCTTAATAAATTTGATAATAAGAAGAATTTTGAATGTTGAGAAAATTCAACCTTGCTTGAGCAAATAAAAATGCAGTAAAAAAATGACAAAAGTGAAAACAATGCGACATCGAATATTTATTGGTAATAATTATAGGATATTCCTGAAACAGCAGATATGATGAACGTTGATAAATTATTGCAGCATCTCAATGAAAAACAAATGGAAATCGATGAATTAAAATATGATGCAATACAAATGAAAGGTACAAAAAGACTCTTATAAGATGATAATATGAAATTCCAATTTGTAATATTAGAACAAAGATGATATTATAGAAGAATATAATGATGAAATGAAGAAAAGAATAGAGGAAGAAGTGGCTAAAATAAAGCTAATTTATGAAGAAAAAATTAAGCGATTAAATAAAGGAAGCAATGCAAAGAAGGTTTTATTTATTTATTTATTTATTTATTCATTGAAAACCAGCCAAGCAAGACGAAACGCCATCTGCTTGTATTAATAACAATAGTTAAAATAACAAATAATAAGAATTAATGACAAAAAACAAAAAAATAATATTATTTTTAAAATAAAATAAACAATTTAAAGATAAAATAAAGAGAGTATTGCAAAATAATATAATATAGTACAATTCAAAATAACTATAATCGAATGGTAAAAATCGCGATTCCACACTTCTTGCATTATGCGAATTTTTTAAATAATATCATGAATGATATTATCTAATCTTCTTTTTAAAGATAGCTAGAGATGGCGCACAAATTGTATCGTTCGGTAGTTTATTCCAGTAATTAATATTACGAATAAAGAAATCATGAATCCTTAGTTTAGTTTTACACATAGATTTTAGTAATTTTAGCCCATTAGTTCTTGTTGGATCTAAATTTAACCTAAAATTATAGTATCTAGTTTAACATAACCATACAAAATCTTACAAGTATAAATTAAATCTTGTTTAATACGACGAACTGACAGAGAATTCAGGTTGTATTGTAGAAGTTTTGTTTTATAATTAAAATTGCAATTTGGAGAGAGACGCAGTATAAAATATTTTTGGAGTCCTTCAATTATTTTACTTGATTTACGATATCTCGGGGAATAACATGTAGCATTGTAGCCAAGAAGTGACCGAACGAACGCTTTGTACATTTCGATAAGGAAATCTTCAGTTTTATTCTTAAACGAACGAAAAATAAAATTTAGTATCTTTGAGGATTTCTTTACCATGGTTCTGCGGTTAATTTTCTTTTAATTTAAGATTAAAGATTAATTTTCTTTCAAAAAATTAATAATTAGAGCCATTCGTATAAGAAATTAGTATAGGAATTCTTGGAAATTTTTGCCAGCAGGTCATTTGATGATGTAAGCAAAGTTGACGGTACCACATGGATTTTTTATTGATACTTTAATCAAGATCAGCGAATCAAACCTATGATACTAGATGAAATCGAAGTAACCGTGTCACTCAACCATGTCCTCTTTTAAACTGTCAATAGTCTCTTTATTTTAATTTACTTTAATTTCAGAAATTTTTAATGGCTAATGGCTAATAGCGATTAATAATTGAAATTTTGAGTGGAATCTGTTGTAACTGTGCATCTTTGAACCACAGTCACAAATCGAGATTTTTTGAAACTTAGGGTGGTGGTGACTGGTGCACCTTCGGAAAATCATAATTTGATGGATATTCCATTGCACCTGCCAAATATTCCCATGTAGATTTGTAACTCTGTGACTGATCTGAATTAATTTCTGCTGGAGATAAATGCCTTAAACATCTTAAAATTTCTAAAATTTTACGGAAAAATTTTATAGAGCAAAAATGAAATCGATGATGAAATGGAACTGCTAAAAAAAGATTCAAATGAAAAAACTCAGCAAATTGATGCACTTAATGAACATATCGCAGATTTATTAGAAAAATTGGAAGTGATTCGAAGCGAACTTGAAACAAAGAATTTAGAATTAATGAATCTCACTTATAGTAATGAACAGTATGCAAAGTAGGTTTTCAATCCAAATTTATTTATCCTTTTTAGAAACTTATATTAAAATCATAAATTTACATGAATTAGTACACTTATAACATATAAATTTCATTTAGCATATTTTTTGCACGTGTCATACAAAATTTGGTGATAAAAATTTATCGCCAAATTTTGGTGCCAGAATTAAAGTTTATGTGGGAATCATCAACAATTTTTTTAATGATAAAATTAAGATTCGAGTTAAGATTATCACCTCCAAAATCCAGTAAAATTTAAATAAATAAAATTTATAAAATTTATAAATAAAAATAAAATTTAAATAAAATTTTAGAGAAAGTGATGATGCTTACCAAACACGATTACAAAAAATTGAAAAAGATCATGCAACTGCCATGGAATTGAGGAAAAAGCGAGAAAATGAACTGGAGGCACAAATCCGGAGCCTGGAAAATCAGATAAAAAATAAGTAAGGGTTCAAAATGAGGTGGAACTTACTACTAAGAATTGTGAAATATGCCAAATATTGAACTTTGAACATTCTAGCACAACATCATCCATAGTTTGCTATAATAGCAAATAAGGAATTAAAGCCTGGTTATAAAATAAGAGAAATATTTTACTGATTCGTAGAGTCTCTTAGAAAAGTCGTGGAAACTTCTGAAGTGCAGACAGATGTATCAGAATTTTCATTCAGCTGTGATGAAAATGCGAAAGTGGTTAACCAACTTGTGGTGAAAATAAATGAGTTAGAAAACGATCTAAAGGTAATATTTATGTAAAAAATTCATCCTTTCCTGTCGTTATTCCAGCGCTTAAGATATTGTTTTTTTCATAAAATGGACTAAACATAACGCAGCAATTTTCTTTTAGCGGTTTAATTCACGTTTCACATTTAACCATATAGTACAATGCGTTAAAAAAATTTACCAGAAATCTTAATGAAACTAATGGATTTAAGGAAAAGGACGATTTCATTGTACAGTTGCATAACGACCTTATTCAATGCAATTTGGATGAAGATCACCGCGAAACGAGATCTGATAAATTTGTCAGTTCCTTTCTTCGAATTTTATTCGTAATATCTAAAGAATAATTACTTATAATTTTCAGCAAAGTACTGAAAGTAATTTTCCACTGAGATTGAAGATTTTAAATAAGCTTCAAACATTTGTGGAAAAAATTATGGAAAAGCGGGATATAAACTCAAAAATCATTAGAACCGTTATTTCTGGCGCTGATGGAAGTGAAAATAAAGAAACCATGAAACATAATGATCGAGAAATTGAAAAGAAAGAAAAAATTGCCGAGAAAACAAGAATCAGGTGCGTTATATAAGAATAACAAACCAAAAATTCGAATTAGCTACTGACGCTGTTGTACTACTATTTTCCATAATTGGCCAAATATCTTTGAATTTTTTTTTCATAGCATGAAAACCACAATCTGTGATAAGGCGTTTTAAAATTATAGTCATTTACCTTCCGCCGTGCATCGCTCCAAATCGCCAAGTTTCCTGAGCCGATTGCGTGATAGAAGTCCAACAAAAGCTAAATCACCTGGATTTGAAATGAAATCACCTGAAAAAAAGTATTCTCTTTCCTAATTTTAGTGCAGCATTAATTTTCACTTAAAATTCTCATGGTCTATCGACTGTAATACTATATGTTTCTCATTTGAATTCCAGATATCTTCTTAGTCCATCATACGCTGAGCGGTCTTCTTTGATAGATGACCGTAGACGGGGTTCGCCTTCACGGCAGTTTTTCACGAGAACGAAAAGAGATATTGGTTCATCATCACAATCAGGGCTTCTATCACCTGGAGCTGGTAAAGATGATTCAAGCAAGCGACCAGCCTGGAAATTTTAATATCATTTATAAATATGCAAAATATATTATACAGTTATATAGACAAATTAACTGCATTCTTCGTCGTTCTCTTTATTTAAACATTTTCTTGAAAAATTTTAATTATAGGAAACCGACAGAGCTCTTTAATAATTTTGATTTTCATAAAAGATAATACCGATAGTTTTTGAATGATGATTGCAAATTATGCCTTGTTTTAATCAACAATACTAATTTTAGCTCAAATAGACTCAGATTTGATTTTTATTTTTCTTTTCAAAGAATCAATTACGCACGTTTTTTATTGCATTTTTTTGAATTTCATCAAAGTAGGTTTAAAGAAATTGTTACTCGAAGAAATCTCGTAAATTGATCTTATATTAATATATAATTAATATATTTATTATAGAACATTAGCAGACGCGTCAAAAAATGTTAAAATTATGTTTGACCAATTAGAAAACAAATTTTAGTGAAAACTAGATTTGTTGCGAATTCATTTTGAAATTCACTTTTAAAGCTTGAATTTTTAAATTGATAGTTTTTGTTTAATTTCTATCTATAAATTTCTATGAAGTTTACTTCAATGTTCAATAGTTTCTATTTTTTTTTCAACATATTTTATCGTTTTAATTTGGAAATGAATAATTGAAATTTCTAAAAATTAAAATTTATTTATTGGACTAATTTTTTTCATTTTTTTATTTGTTGAAAGACAGACTAACCAAATAAACTATCAGTAAGGAGCAAATGAACAAAAAAATTTCTGATTGAAATCTGCATGATTTCTCTTGATTTATGAGTATCATCCGGTCGTTTGTTAAAGGGTAATGCTCCTTTGCTGAGAATATACCTAAATTCCTACCTTTCCATTTTTCTTTTTTTTTTCTTGTTAAAATTATGTTTGACCAATTAGATAACAAATTAATTAAACAAATTAACAAACAAAAGCTTTTAATTTGGCAGTTATTTTAAAAATTTTTTTCTTTGAGAAGATTCCTTACACTGATAGAAAAAACCTATCAAACCTAGGTAGCCATCTGCACTTCTATTTCCAAGTGATTATAATAAAAAAATCAAATGGCTTCCGGCATCTGCGTATCCCGATGAGTATAATATTCTTCACTAGTACATGCGGACCAGGAAATGGCAATAATAAGAATAACCATATAATGAATTGAGCTAATGAATTGCACTAATTCAGGGGACTCAGGCAAATGGCCATTGAGGACCACAGCTATGGGATATCTGTTTTTCTAATTCTGGCTTCAGAGAATTAGACTATATCTGTTTCTGGTAAGAAATAATAATTATATTACAGTAGTGCTTCGGATAACATGAGAAAAAATATAGTCGCGATATATGAAAGAATACTAACGAGATCAATCATAAAATCTTAATAATAGGATAATCTTAATAATAGGATAGGATGCCAACTGTAAAGATAAGTCACGGTCACCAAGCTTATGCCATATGCGATCTACGTAAGAATTGATTTTATGCAGAATTTATCTGGTATCGCGTAGCTGAAGTATCTTCTATAAAGCTATGCTGTGATTAAAGTAAAGGTCCAGGTGGAGCTAATAATGTGCACAGCGTCTTTTGATTACCTCAAATTAAATAATTCAGGATGAGTTATTAAAGCATATTAAAGAATTTATAATCGCTAACATCTCTTAACAATTACTGATCCCATTTAAAATCCTGCTTCAGTTGATTAAATCCACTCTAAGATTCCAGTCGGAAGAAGAATCTCGGATGAAGCAGTCCATATGCACAATCGCGCTGCTAGAGTGCTTGTCAGAAAAACACTATCAGTTGCTCCTTAAGTGCTCAACTGTTGCGATAAGATGGAGCAGAGCAATATGCGACAGATTAGATTATGAATAGTCACTTAAGAGAGTCTGCAAGTCAGCTAAGAATATATCGCAGATTTGAGAAACGCTTAGTATTTATTTTTACTGGCAGCAGTTAATGGAAGCCAGAAACTTAGAATTTTCTTTATTAATCGATGATTTTATACATAAAATTTTGTATTTTATTTATGTTGCGAAAAAAATTTATTTTATACAAACTCACTATCGATTTAGAAAGTTTTGCCTTAGATTTTGTATTGTAACAAATAGGCTAACGAAAATCGAAATCCCAGCAGATAGCCACATTCAAGAATGTGGTTCTTGCATTTGACGAGATCTCTATGGAATTGCCATGAAAGTAACATGAAAACAAAAATTCGTATTTTTGAATCTATCTAACTGGAGTACGGACTATCTTATTCTATGGTCAACGCGAGAGGAAGATATTGCGAAAACTACCTTTGATCACTAGGACAAATTTTAGACAAATATTTTGTATATATATTAGAGAGTGATTGAATCTAATTTCGCTCGAATAGTATTTGAATCAACAAAATTGTTATAGATTGTCTTTTACCCTAGCCAAACCATGTTCGCCGATCGCTAGCAATTAATATGTATTTCGGCTGCTAATTGGCCCAGTGATGGTGTCTTCAAAAGGGAGAGGGTCCAATGAAAATCTGGATTTAATCGGAAGAGATTTTAAATAGGTGGCTTGAACGAATAGGTATATATGGGCTAAAATAGTGGAAAAAGGGAAAAAGAGGTCGTTTTTATCATTTCTAGGTATGGCATCAGATCGAGCAGCTTGAGTGTTAGAATTTTTTGCCAATGACTTACTGGAGAATAGACATGCTTCCCCACAGCATTGATTCTGCCGGAAGCAATGCCCGAACTTTTATGAAAAATTTGTGAACCTGAGCAACAAATATTCAATAAATATTATCTCGGCCACCATCAAGAATAAATATGCATAAAATTCTTTCTTTCTTGTTTATTTAAATAAGCAGCAATTTTTCATTCATTTCATTTTCATTCAATTATGAATGAATAAACTGTGAATATTTGCGAAATACATCCATTGTCGAAACATAATAAATTCAAAAACGGGTATCAAAATATTTGAACGATTGGCAAAGAGCTTCGTCTTTCAGAAGAGTTGATAAAAATTCTTGCCTAGTCACAATCCCATCATTATTTTTATCCATTCTCTGAAAATGCTCGATTCGCACTGTTTGTTTTCTAAGTTTTCATAAACTTCCTTTAAAATTCTTTTAATGATGCGATAAACCTTGAAAACGTCGAAAACATGAGTTTCAATAATATGTCGGTCAACTGGTGGGATAATATTGCGACCAAGCAATTGATAAATTGAGTGTATGACGCGAAATAATCCATCAGGTGAAATGAGACCTCGGCGATTGATGTCATATAGATCAAATATCCACTCCATTTTTGCAACTACCGTTCCTCTCGATATAATTGAAAGTCCGGTTATGAATTCCTGGAAAAGTTAAAAAGTTAAAGTGTTAAGCGGGCAGTTATATTCCATAAATGGGCAATTGTCTTCGTGTCTTAAGTAAAAAATAAAGAAAGTTAACTGCAATCAACTTTCGCTATATTTTTCTATAAGGCGTTTCACAATAGATTCTGTAACGCCAAAGGAAAAGTTAGAACTATAATACTTGACCTTTATCAAAACAGCAACTTACATAGATACATAGATCACATACAACTTTCTTTGTTTTTCCATAGATTGGAAAAAAATTTAGAACTCCAACAGCACACCGATATTTTTCAATATTGATAAATATAACCAATAAATAAATACATCAATAAAAAAAAAAAGAATTGGTGTTAAAAACCTTATCCTTTAAACTCACTTCAAAATTAATTTTACCGTTGTCATCGCGATCAAAAGTTCTAAAAACATATTCAGCGTATTTCCGAGAATTGCCAAATGGAAAAAATTGGGCATAAATTTGTTGGAATTGTTCGAGGGTTATAGTACCACATGGATATCCCTTAAATATGAATGATTGTATAATGAATAAATTCTTAATTTTTGATACTTTTTCGTGAGCGAAATTCACGAATAGTTCTTGAATGGTTGAAAAATACATTAAGATGAAACAACTTGTTTAAACGCTCGGTAGATAAATTTCACTTCTTTTGAGGAAAATTTTGTCAGTTTGCATATTTTTGAAATACTTTCTGGTCGGCAATACGGTGTTAGTTGATCGACAGAAAAGTCGTCTAAAAATGCTTTGGCATAATATTTCGAATACAATGAATAAAAATATTGAATAATTACATTAAATATCTTCTAACGCATAAGCAAATCGAAAACTTTTAAATGAATCCTGATTTCAGTTGAATTGAATATGAAGAATTTCCAACTTCTGCTCAATAAAAAACTTCCAATTAGTTAACATAGATTTTTTTTCATTCAATTATTATTCAATAATTAGTTCGATAAAAAATAATATTTGAATTCTTGTTTATTATTACATAACACTGAAAAATCAAAGAAGTCCAGAAAAAATCTAAAAACTATTTTTCAAGCCAAAATCAGCAAGAAACAACTATATAAAGACTTTAACATGTTCAATTATTTGTTGGAGAAAGTAAAAAACCTTTTTTCCGAAAAAACCTTTAACTAAAGTTGAAAGCATTAATTTAAAAAAATAATAATGTTAAACATTTAGAAACTGGCAAACATTCGTAATATTTAAAGAAGGAATTATTTTTCAGGAAAACAAATTAGACATAAATGTAAATGACGCATAAAAAATTAACCATTAAATTTGGAAAAACTATAAGGATCCTCGTTAATAGGAATAGCCATTTGTGAAGAAAATAAGATTTCGAACTTCTTTAACAACAATCGACATCAAAAAAGCAATTTTTCTTTACACACCTGCATGTTTCCTTTTTCCATATTTGTTCTATGATACCGATAATTCTGTGATTTCATGGCAAATATATTTATATGAACAAAAAAACAAAAATGATAAAAAAAAATGATAAAAATGATAAACTTAATTTATTATTAATGAGATAAATAATAACTTAAAGAATTTATTATTTCTTTCTATATTCTAATTTAAAATCAATGCAAAATTAAAGTTTTTTCGCTTAATCGTATATAAACATTCGCGTATTAGCAAAAAATTATTTTTCTCAATTAAATTTATAAAACTAAGCGAAAAATCCTGTTAAAATCCAATATTTCAAGTAACTAAAGCTGTGACAAAATGATGAAATAAAATAAAATTTTATATGATTATTATAATAATAATAACAAAAATTAATGAAAAATGAGTTCTATCTAAAATCAATAAAGCATAACAATTTTAAGTTTTGATAACAAATATTGCAAATATCGCTTTATACAAATATTATTTTATTATTTATGAATTGAAAAACCAAGTTTTTTTTGCATTAACTGATTAATTGTAGGTAAATATAGGTTTATAAATATATAATTAATTAACAGTGAATATTCATTAAAAAATACTAGAAAAACTTCAGATATAAATTTAGATATTCGATGTAAAATTTTATTTTTATTATTTTAAAATTTTATTATTTTAAAAAAATCGATCATAAATTAGCACCCATCTATGAAAGGCAAAAATAAAAATTAAGAGACAAAAGATTAAATATGACTAAAATTATAAATTAATTAAATTATAAATTAAAATTAAAATTATAAATAAAGATTAAAAAAATCAGTTTTTATCAGTTAAAACCTTCTTTGAGGTTCTTTGAAGTTGAACGGCAGAAAACCGAGGAATTGAATTTATTAAATTATTAAAAATTTTCGGATTGTAATCAGGATTTTGAAACGATAAGCTTACATATGATCTCTCAATCAGTCTGATAAAATTACCATAAATACTATAACTTGAACAATTAAATTAATCGATGTAAAGATTTAAAAAACTTTAAGATTTTGTTTATTATACTAACATTATTTTAATAAAATTGGCAAATATTATTTTAAATTAATTCGTTATATTATCGAAATTTCATCGAATTTTTACAGAATGACCAAATTTAAAGCACATATGTCCATTTAATACGCATATTTTTTCAGTTCATAAGCTAAATAAGGTTATTTTCCTAAATCAGTTTATCTTATATAATTGCTTGTGGATTTGTGAAATGATTATAAATCGTGAAACTGCAAATTATAATTATAAATTGTAAATGTTATTGCATTTTCATTCCACTTTATTTCATCATACTTTTTATTTGAAGCAAGGATTAGCCGTTGATAGATCTAAATTTTTTAAAAAATTTTTGTTTTATGAAATCAAAAAAAGCGAATTACGCGATGAAAAAGGTCTACGCGAAAGTTATTGGCAACGATTCGTAATGAAGATGCGACATACGAATTTAATTAACAAAGTGATGAGAACGACTGTCCTATTTAAATATTACTTAATTCAGCTATGGAAATCATTCAAATCATTCAATCTCTTTTTTCTATCATTTTCCAGCTATCACCTTTATATTTATTGCCACTTCGTATTAATTACGTTTTCTATAAATAACTAAATATTCGATTTAAAACTTTAAATAATAATTTCCATAATCGCTTCACATACTTTTCATAACTGATTGCATTTTCAAAATCGAAATTAAGTCAAAATAAATTAATAATTAAGCATTAAAAACGATTGATACTATAAGCTGATATCAGATTGATTAAATGAATAATTTCTCATTGTAATATTTTCAGCTAACAGCTGTTTATTTTATTTTTACCAGCCTTATTGGCTATTTGAAAATATTTTTACTAATTTTTCTTGCCTAGCGAAGCAAATATTAATTTCCAAAATTATTCGATATAAGTTATAAATTATAAAACATGTAAATTATTTGATCATAATGCATTATTGACAAATTATAACAATATATAGCATTAATGTGGGATTTTAGAGGGAGCAAATTGCTTCAGGCCAATTCAATTCCTTCCTTAGTTATCTCTTAATGAAAGCTATTCATTTTAGGTCGTTCTAATCCAGTCCATAGCTCATTTCCCATTATAGCACTATTTATTCGAGTTTCACTTATTTAAAATTATTTATAGGCTTTTAAAATTCCACTTAATTATTCTTGTTTACCTATATAAATTTCAGATTATCGCCAAGTTTTAAGTTTCTTTCAATATATTTACACCATATATCGTAACAATCACATGGTCTTCTCTTGTTTCCTTATCAACATTACTGAGTTAGGTTGGCTCCGCTTGCTATAAAGTCGTTTGGCCTTGATCTGTTTTTGTGAGCAACACGCGTTTTTTCACTACCTAAGCCCAATAATTATATATTGCTAGATTTATTCTCTTTTATTTAGCCTAAGTTATTTTTATTAATGAACTATTGGTCAGAATTTCTTTCCAATATAATTTATAACATACTACATAACGAATTGAAAACCGATTATTTAACATAAGTATGGAGTTATAAAGATAATTACAAAAGTTTGGATTGGAATGGCTCACTGAGTAATTATTCTTATTTTGGAGCGCCAATGCTAGAGTTCCACTAGGGAGAGTACGGATCTTTCTCCAAAATTCGGCCGACGCTGGCGATTCACTTGTGGTCTTTATCACCAAATGACTCCTTGGTCTGGTCAGATAAGCAAGAGAAACGAGCTTAACCAAAAGTAGGGAGTGATCTTAGGAAAAATTTAAGATTATTAGAAATAATAAAAAAAAGATACAAGAAATAACACTAAAAATTGCAAAAAGATTCGCACTTTCTTTTGCGTACGATATGGAGTTTTCTATTTCTGGTTAGGATGAGTATGTTGAAATCACATCTGGTAAAGATTTGGATAAAAAGTAAAGCAAACCCCATTCGAATTTAATATCGATGGCATCTATCAAGACGCAGGTGCCAAATCTATGCAATGTGAATTTATCGCTTGAGCAACATCACTCATCACTCACTCACTTATTACACGATCATGACTAACTTGGATAAGGAGATTTAAAATTGTAAATTAATAAACTATCAAAGATGTTTTAAGAATTATAAATATGCAAATTTCTAGCAAATTCAACCAGTGGCAAACTATTATTACTAGTTGATTTCTTCTTGAATATGTTCATTTTCCATACTACTTTAATACCGGTCAAAAGAGGAATTATATCCTAGATCAGCGTCTATATAGCGGCGATTCTCTTACTATATGGTTGAGATGCATGACCAATGAGAGTGGAGAATATCAAGAAATTATTTGCATTTGGCCACTCATATACATCAAAATGTGTCTGCCAAGACACATTTTACCTAATGGATTCACCTAGTGGACAAAATCTTGCATGATCGCATTCGCTCAAATACCATTTGCATTAACATTTCAGAGTATCGCCTTTGCTGGTTTGCTGGAAAGCTCTTCGCTCACCACAGAGTTCCATTAAATGAGTGGCATCAAAAGCGAGATGGACCAATCCTGGACAAATACAATTAGAAAAGATTTTGAATGCATAAGTGCTAGTCGGCCATGAATTTAGAGGATAGAAAAAGTAATGACGATGGTGGCATCTAATCGCACACCTTGCAAAAACTTTATCCTTGTAGGCAGCTGAGCCGGCCTAACTAGTATTAATGAACTATTGTAGAAATCAAATTCATAACTCTGAATAATTAAATATGAAAAAAATAAATAAATAAATTAAATAAATGTGAAAATTTATATCAATTGTTTAAAACAAATGAAATCCTGATTTTGGCTTATTTTTCATTTCTTTTTATAGAATACTGAAATAGAAAAAAATTATCCGTCCTCATTAAATTGGTAATTTACCAACTAATAAAAATGCAAATAAAATTGCATGAAAGGGAAATCAAATTGAAAAGATAAAAATCATAATTTTGAATCGAAACAAAGTTTATTTGGCTTACCAAAATTAAAATTGAATTTAAGATGTGGAAATCGCATTAGTGGCAAAGTCAAATAATGTACACTTGGATCAAAAAGTTTCGAAAATTTGCAGTTTTATTTAGAATCTGTTACGATAAAAAATAAGCCGAGAGGTTCAAGCTATTGATATCGAGTTTCTTCATTTTTTTGTAAAGTCTGATAATTTCGGCTGGATTTTTATCTTTATAAGAATCAAATTTTAAACCTCCTTTCTAACTTGTTAATTTTGACATATTCCTCGCAAAAGTAAGCCTGTCCAAAAGTCCAGGTGATGCTGGCTTCTATCGCAAGGGACTTCTCCCAGGCATATATGTCCAGTGCGATAAGCCAGCGGAACGAGCCAGTAATGGTGAGGAATCTTAAAAGAAAATTAACTCCATTTCGATTTGAGGAACAGGTTTACTCATTTTGTGATTAGAACCGCAGCATCAGCTCTCTCTCAAATGAAGACAAAAACCCACTGAGCCATTCCACCTCCTGAGCCCTATTGTTAAGCGTTATTTTTTGAAATAATGATGTGATAAATTGGTTATATAGCCTATAAATTAAGATAAAAGATATTTTTAATGATCCACCTTATAAAAACATTATCTTTTCATTAGTGGCATGCATAAAAGGAAAAAAACAAACCTGAAATTTCTTAAGTACTTTAAGTACTTCTTTAATACAATATATCGTAAAAATTTTGGAGATTTTCTGGGTGATTCAAAAAATATTTTTTAATTTTAACTGA